GCGTGGCTGTTGCCGTTTCTGTTTTGTTTCTTGTCGCGCAGTTGGTCTTTGGTCAGTCACATCGGTTGATCTCATTCTCGGTCAACTTTCGAGTGACGCCGTAGTAACCAGCTTTGATCCTTTGATCTCGTATCGTTTTTGTTCCTTGTTGCTCGTTGTCGTTTTTCTTTCCTTTTTCGGTAACAGTTCGGAGGCGAGAATGCTCTCCTGAACCGCCCCCCACCCAAACTTGCAACGCACCTGGTTGGAGGGGCTGGACAAGATGGGATGAGCGGAGGTACAGCAGGCCGTGCTCCGCAACCGTCAAACGGTATTATATATTCGTTGTTTTTGCCTTTGCAGTTCCCTTCCCTTCCGAACCAAGACGGGAACCCCTGTCGATTCTGCACAGCAGCTCTCCTCGCTGCACTAACACGAAGCAGAGGCATATGCATGCACCTGGCATGTGCAATGTGCAATGGTCTGCAAGTAATACTCCGGTCATGTTCACTCGTGCGTGCTTTCTTCTGCCCACCCGTCACGGACAGCCACATCCGCCACTTTTCTTATTGTGGTTCACAGGGCTTGGCGTTCCGGTTAGTCCTTTTTTTATTTTTCCTTTTTCTTGTCTTCTTAGGTCTCTTTCTTGTCCCCCCACTGCGACCCTGTCGCGTTTTCTCGGTCTGTAAAGCCGTCCGTGCAGTTCTGTCTGTCCGCTCGAGTCCGTTAAGGTTCGGTCTACGTTGACGGGACCGAACAGGACAGGCATTGGGCGATGCTTATGACTGACATTCTGACCTCTTCTTTGTTTCTTTTATTTTATTTGGCCGTGCTATGATCCCCGATTTTTGTCTCTTTCTTCGTGTCTCAGGGCCGATGTCGACATCCACCGTCCACGGCATCTAAGTTTCTGTCTAAGATTAAGGCTGTGTCTCATGCAGGAAAACTCGTTTTGGAGTCTCTTCTGCTGTTGGCGCCGCTCTCTCGTTATTCTTTTTCGTGTTCTTTTTTCTTCCGTCCCTTGTCCACCTGATGTCCGTTTTATGCATAACTTTGACACCGTCGACGCTCGCCCACAAACAGCCCCTCTTTGTAGGTTCCATGCAGAGGGTTGGGTAAGGTTGTGTCAATGTTGGTTGTCTCCACAACCCTCTATTTTGGATTCTCCAAAAAGGAGAGATCTGCCCTGGTGATCGTCCCATTGATTTTCGTCCCTTGCCTTTTGTCTCCTTCTTTACGCCGTACATCATGCTTGACCTATCTCTGTTCTCCCCTCAGATCCCTCAGTCCCCTCAACCTCAACCAAACCATGACAAAGACAGGTTCGACAGGAGATCGCTGTCCGTCGCGCCGTCGTTGCGATATCTGCGAATTCTGCACCTCGTCTCCGGGCAGTTCCCCTTTGATCCTCCGCCTTGTTTTGCCCCCACAATCACAATCACGTCTTTCTTACATCGGGCTACCCTGTCTAGAGACATTGGTTGCAACACATCGTCGACAAGAGACGACAAGTATTTCGTATTCCCTGTATCCTTTGCTTCGGATATGTCCCCAAGCGATGGTCTTGCTTCTTCCTTGTCTTTTTTCGCTTTTCTTCTTTTTATGTTCTTTCTCACTTTTTATTCTTTTATTTTCCTTCTTGTTTTCTTTTCCAGCCCAAGCTTTTTCTTCTCCACTCTTCTGCCCCCATCATGGTTTCTTTTTCTGTGAGCCTTCCATCCTTCAATACCGATTTATCCACACCCCTCCCCCGTCCAGCCTCCACACTCGCCCTTTTCGCTCTTCACTTCTGTTGCGTTCTTTCTATGCTCTTTGCTTTCTTCCAACTCACTTTACCCAGACGCCCCGGTCCATGCATGCAAGCTTCCTCTCATACCGGTCTCCTCGCTCTCGCGCAACCCAACAGTCCAGGCTCCCTTTCACACACAGTTACCATCCCGCATCGACCCCTTGCTGCACTGACGCCGGAGGTTCTTTCCTATTGGCTCGTTGTCGAATCGTTCTGTCGCCTGCCCGAGAGAAGCCACTCGCCAACACTAACACCTTCAGTTCTTCAGTTGTGCCACCGGGTTCTCAGTCTGTAACCCTTGCTGCCTTTGCCAAACCAACATAAACTAGTCCTGGCCTGCGTTTTTGTTGTGCTATTGGCGCAGTGAGACGGGCAGGGACCTTTGCATGTTCGTTTCGAACCCTGCATCTATCTACTAGGCTCTTCTCAATAAACGTTTTGAGGTGGTAACAACTCTAAGAATGGCTTTCACGGCAGGCGTGTTGCAAGCCCTTTCTTTTACTTTTTGTTTTGCTTTGTTTTTTGGTTGCAACAAGCCAATACCGTTTGGGCTGCCTTCGGAGAGCTTCTCCACGTCCCCTCCGTGTTGCACGCGGCATGGGCCTAATTCAGCCAAAATCGTCAACGTTACAGGGCATAGGTGGAGAAGAGGTGTCATGGAGAAGGAGTCGAACTAAGATCTAGAAAGGAGGAACAGACACATTAAGCACAGCGCAACTCCCAGTCTCCCAGTCTCTCAGTTTGCAGTAGGCAGCCTTGTACCTGGTACTGTATTGAGGCACGCAAAACGACAGAAAAACGGAGCCTCTCTTCACCCCTGTGAACTCCTTTGCAGTCAACGTTTGGCCTCCAACCCGTGTCCGTCTCCCGCCAACCCAACCCACTCGGACCAAGCAAAGGTACTCTGGCCAGCAGTCAGTAATTACTGAGTACGTCGTGCATTTAACTTCGACACTTAACGCATGGTCTTTGTTGCTTTCTTGTTTTCTGATTCACATACCGTGGGCCTTTGCGTTTTTGTAGCAGAAAGCTTTAGAAGTAAACACCTCACGTCTGATTTTACATTTATATTCACGCTGGTTTCTTTCTTTCCTTCGTATTTTGTTTTGTTAAAAAAGAGAAAAGTGGAATTAAAACCAAAGACCTGGGTTTTATGTCAGTTACTCGTAAGATAACTTCGACTTTCTTCTCCCCACAAATGACATCAATGTATTGCCCATATGAGGCCACCCTCAAAAATAGTCCCTGATCGGCTTCAACTCGATTTCTCCCTTATTGTTCCTATTGTTGTCTTTTTCTCCTACTCCATTTCTCCACGTTCTCCATTTATTTCATCTGGTGTTGTAGTATGCCCATGTGGGATTTATACAACATTTGCACTCTATCCACTGTCCTTTCTTCCACATTTCTATCGACTGTTTGTTCGCTCCTTCCCTGCCAGTGGCCGTCCACCATCTCGCCGTTGTCCAACTGCCACCCTGCCATAACCACACCATATCGGCAGGGCAAGAAGCAGAGGGTCCCAAATTGCAGCATTCTGTTTAACACAAACAACAGGGCGTCGTTCAGTGGCTCACTCTTCTCGCTCTACAACCCGACAGGCGCTCAAGTCTGCAGTCCTGTATGACCTTTGTTTTGCTTTTCCAGCACTGTGATCTATTTTACCCTTGACGTTGACTGCATCGCTCTTTCCTCCCTGTCCGTTATTGTTTTCTGCTATGTCTCCTGTAGTTCCCTATATGGACAATTTCCACCACCAGTTCCCTTCGTCCCTTCCCTCTGGTTTGATCTGCGCTCAATGTGCGGGCGCTGGCCCTTGAAGTAAAAACAACTCAAAACGGAAGGAGCGAACAGGCCACACAGGAAAGAGCAGGAAAGAAAGACGACACAAAGCCAACAACAGAAAGAACGACACAGGTATATGACTGGGAATATCCAGGAATTGGCAAGAACACGCCCCCCCCCTCCCAATCGCCCAGAAGAACTACCCCCAAAATCTGTCCCCCCCAAAATCCTACCTCAAAAATAAACAAGATCTTCTCCGTCATCGACCGGAACCAAGATCGAGACTCCTGGGTCTATTCCCTTTCTCTCTATTTTCCCTGTTCATCCCTCTCCACATCTTTTACCTTCTTTTGCCCCTACGACCAGTCTATTTCCCAGTGCAGGATCGACAAAGCAGACGTCTTCAGAAAAAAACAAAACGAGACAAACAAAAAGAAACAAAAGTCGACTGTCGACGACAACAACAAGACCAGTCTACGACGAGCCTCAAGGGGCACAACTGCGCGGCATCGCACATATATTCGTTATAGCTCGTCCATTGGCCGCATTACTTGTCCGCTACCCGTCTGCTCCACTCGCATTCTTCCTTCTCGACACTCGTCGACGCTCTTCCGTTTTTCTCGCCCCTCGTGGCTCGTGCCCTCCATATTCTTTGCCGCACTCCCCTCCCATATCTCCGCCTCTCGTCCTTTCTCCTACAGCCATAGCCCATAACCAGACACCCCTACCTTACCGTCCCCCTCCCCTCCTTCAGCCTCTCCGTTATTCGCCCTGTACGTCGTATACTTTGCTTGCTTGCTAAAGCTTAGAGAGCCTGTTCCGTCTGCGGCACAGTCCTCTCTCGCGCGCGCTCGTTCTCCGTCTGTCCTTCACTGGTCCCTCTCTGTCCTGTTGCTGTCAGAGCTTATCCGTCTCTGTCCGTCAGTGTCCGTCTGGGGTTCTTTTTTCTCGTGCGGTCGGTTCTGTCAGTCGTTTACACTCTGCCCGTCTCTCCGCCGTCTTCCCACTTCCGCTTCTGTACATGCGCCCCATTTATCTTCCCCATCCTCCATCCGCCATCTTGTCTCTCCAAGATCACTACCTGCCCTCCAGCCGGGCTCGTCACTTTATTTACCCCCTCCACCCCCCTTATTCTTTTTTTTTGTTTTCTTTCTCTGCTCCTTTCGTAAAAAGAAAGACAAATAGGTCAACCTTTCTTTTTCATTTCTTTGCTATACGTTCATCTATTTCTCCCACTCTATCTTTCCACGGCCGCAACAGCGCCGCCAGCGTCGTTCGTCTTTTTATTTTATCTAGCACACAATTCCCTTCTTTCATCTCGCACCCGTTGCTATCATCTTTATTATATCGTTTTCTTGTTGTCGTTGGATGGCAACATTTCATTTATTTACTTGTCATTTTTTGTCTATCACTTCAACTTTCACTTCGTCCCCATACCATTTCTCCAATGCTCGCTACTCGACGCAGCGACACGGAACTGAGCCATCCTTGGTCCTTTAGCAAGCTAGAGACATCCTCGTCCGCGCTCTCTCTCAAGCATTCGCCGCCCAGTCCCGGTACACGCATGTCGAATACCGGCTTCGAGACGCCGTTGTCGAACGCCGCCACAGAGTGGTCGGGCCAGTACTCTTTCTTGCCGCCGGCCGAGCCCATCTTTGCAGCTCAGGCCTACGACCATGTGAACGGCGGTGCTGGTAGCGGCAACGGTAGTGCCGGTTCCGGAGGAGTTGTCGATTCATCAACTACAAGCAGCGGGACGAGCACCACGAACAATGGTGTGGCCAACACCGGCGGCCAGACGCAGACCCGGCCATCAACGGGCACTAACGGAGACGGCAGTGGCGGCGGAAGCATCAAGGATGATTCATCTCTCAACGCTGGCGCATCGCCTTTGGGCCTCCACCATCGCCGCAGCATCGACCCTCTTGGCCTGCGCCAGCATTCTGTGAGCGGGACAGCACAAACGACAGTGGCATCGCACAACCTCAGTGGCAAGACACCACCCACGCCGACCACGGCCACGAGCGAGCAGCACCAGCATCACCAGAATCATTATGGCCAACACACACATGGCAGCGATGTGGTGTCTATGGCAGCAAATCCGCTTTCCTCTGTCCTCCAGCAGCAGCAGCCCGATATCCACTCTGCTGGCAGCGGTGGCGAGGATCACTCAGGTCTCAAGGATGACGACGATGATTTGATCGACGACGAGGACATGGGCGAGGCCGGTGAAGGAGACGGGGCACCGGCACCAGCGCAAACCGCAGCCGAACGGACAGCCCAAAGGCGGAAAATGAAGCGGTTTCGGTAGGTAGCGCACTAATATTCCGTACTCTGCACGTCTGGGATTCCTACAGGCCTCGGAATGAACCCACTAACATACATTGTCCAGCCTCACGCACCAGCAAACACGCTTTCTCATGAGCGAATTCGCCAAGCAGCCTCACCCGGATGCCGCACATCGAGAGCGGCTGTCGCGTCAGATTCCAGGCCTCAGCCCGCGACAAGTTCAGGTGTGGTTCCAGAACCGGTAAGTGTATCTCGTCTTCTCGAAAACTATAAATGCAAGTGTCAGATCCCTGACTGTATAGTCGCGCCAAAATCAAGCGCCTCGCAGCCGATGACCGGGAGCGCATGATCAAGATGCGTGCGGTGCCCGACGACTTTGACAATGTCCAAGCTCTGCATTCACCTTATGGCGCCGTCCACGGCCTCGGTACGCCCATGGCTTCGCCTGTCGATTACGGTGCAGCGGCAGCAGCAGCAGCAGCCGCAGCGTCGTCGTACTCCGACCACATGATGCGGCCCTTGATGGTCGACGTACGGCGCACCGATGGCACCAACACCAGTGGTGGAGACGACCAAAGCCAACACTCACAACACCAGCAACACTCTCACCTCCAGCACAGCCACCATAGTCACCACCTTTCGCCAACAGGACTCAGTCCCGGATTTGGTAACATTGGTTTCGGCACGGCGGCTACGGGTGGCATGGGCAGCTCCGACATTTTGTCGCCACTATCGCCAGCATCTAACACGGATCATCGTTACAGCAGCTACTCGAGCCTCTCGTCCGGTGTCACCGGAACCACGACAGCCGGAAGTGGTTCAAATATGAGTCCGCGCACAGCAATCCCTTACACGCGCCAGAACAGCGGGAATGGAAGTCTTGATGGCAGCCAAAACCAGAACCAACAGAGCCAGTCGCAGCAATCCGCCAACCAACGCCACCACATCCGTCCTTTGCAACCGCTGCAGCTGCGAGAAACCGTGTCGCGCTCGCGATCCGACAACTTGCAGTCCCCTCTGCGATCGAGCATGTCATGGAAGGGTGACTCGCTTGACTACAGTAACTACCACCATGGTAGCGCAACGGGCGGCGCTGGAAGCACGAGCCCTGGCCGTTCATCTCTTTACCCATCTGACGGACTGGGCAACGGGTCATCGTCTGCCGGTCTCAGTGGCTACGATTCGTATTCTGGTAGGTTTCATTTTCGGTCCGCCATATATCTCTCGGCTGAGGGCACCCAATCAACTGACAATGTAGGAAGGCTCTACCGTCCATTCACCGACGCACATGGCCTATCCGGGTTACCAAACGTCTCCGGGTATTCAAGCAGCGGCCAACAACAACCAGAGCCGATCCTCGCGCCTCCGCGCCGCTTCAGCTACACTGCCCTTGGCCCTTGACCTACGCACGACCGGTGTCGGGACCGGCAGCATGGGTGGTGGCTCGCCGTATCGCAGTATCAGTACCGCCGCTGGGGCGCTCTCACCGACCGCAGGCACACCGCGCCAACAACAACAAATGGGGAGTCTGAATGGCCTCGTCTCGTCGTCGGGCTACGGAACCAACTATGCCACGAGTTATGCCTCGAATAACTTTGCCACGACGGCACCGCTTACCGCACCGCTCGACTTTAGTATGTCTTCGTCCGTGTCGCGCACAGGCGCCGGGAGCGGGATAGGTTATCGAACAGGATCGACATCGTCCATGTCCAACGGCGGTGTCACGGACTACACTTCGATGCCACAGATGAGCGCCCCCTTGGCACCGCCGAATGACTTTTCGCAGGCATTTCTAGGTACCGGTGCAGGTACGTCTGGAGCTGTATCGGCGTCGGTCTCGGCTACTTCCATCGCGGCACTCAGCAACAACACAAGCGGTGGACGAGCCTCATCGTATGGCACAGGACTAGGACACCACACATCGACATCCATTGGTAGCGGTCTCGATCGCAGCAGCACGGGTGGTACTACGGCTTCAACAGTGGCAACAGCAATTACAGTGGGTAGTGGAACCACGACAACCGACTTTTCTACCTCCCCAACCGACACCGCCGCTGGCCTCGGAGGTCTCAAGCGCAAGCACAGCTTCACAACCGGTGCGAATACGAACACCAACGTCTACGGCAGCACGGCGTAACGGTAATACACGAACAGAATCTGATTTATAAAAACGAAGAATTACGACAAAAAAGATGACGGAATGGCGACGGAGTTTACTTTCCCAGGTGTGCATTTTGGCGTGTGGGGTGTTGTTGCACGATAATATTTTGTGCCTATCACATTTCTTATATTTGTTCCTATTTCTTTCATTTGTTTTTCCTTTCCTAAGTAGGACGATTAAGGCCGCTGGTGAGCTTCCATTTTTCAGTCACTCACTCAGTATACGATTTTTTTCCCCAGACAGAGCAGCGTCAGACAGGGGTTGTCTATATTTTTTGTCAGAATCTTTTATGTCGTTTTTGTTCTTACTCGATTGCACTTTGTTTTGCGTCCCAACAACGGTCTTTGTTCTGATTCTTCGCTTTTTACGCTCGTTGCATACCTCTTTTATCATTTATCTTTTTAAACACAGGACAATACCCTCGTTTGTATGTTTGGTTCGGTGTTTTTTTTTCCGGTGCGTTTTGCTACTGTTTCTGCTCTTCCTATCTTTTGCTCTCCTAGTTCGATCTACCACTTTTTTACAGTTTAGCACTACGTTCTCGTTTCCCTCCATATACGCTCTCCGCAAACAACAACAAGATTGCGATCCAGTGCGCTTATCCACTACATTCACCATCCAATCTCGTCTCATAGTCCAAATATCAATACTCAAATCAACTTGGCAACCAATACTCACTTGTGTAAAACGAATGATAACCCCTGGACATTATGAAGTAAAGACTAAAATGACGTTTGAACAAGTACATTTCTGTTCGCCTCTTCGCCTCTCTATGTCTCTGCCGTTTCCTGTTCACTCGCGTTTTTCTCCGCTTTATGCACTGTAACCCACATGTGCGTGTCATGCGTGTTGTTTGTGGCTTTTGTCTTTTGTCGGATGGCAGAGGAACGGCGTTCAAAGGAGGGACGAAAGCACAGAAGCAAGCCAGAACGAACGCTCTCACATTGCACAGCAGCGGGAATTTAGTTTTGTTTTGCCTTGTACTCTCGTGTCGCTGTGTTTGCGGCTCCGCCTCCGCGGCCTTTGTGGCTCTACGCCTACGTATGCTGTGCTGTGCTTAATTTTTTTTGGATATTCTTTTTGGTCTCTTTTTTTGCTTCTGTTTTCCTTTTCGTTTTTTGTCCGTTTCCTTTATATGATGCTCACACAACGCGTAATATTATTTGTGGGCACAGCTCGTTTGCAGGACTCACCGGATTGCGTGTTGTCGGGTTGCCGTAAGACAATAGCAGGTGACGAAGGAGCGGCAGACGTAAATGTGATGGGGGTGTGAGTGTGCGTGCGCTAGAACGGGCCCACGCCGCCGTCCGATATCGAGCAGTCCAGCACCAAGGCACACATTGTGACAGTACACGCGCGCCACCATCACATTCGCAGTCGTTCGGTTACCTTGACGGCACCGAAGCTGGGAGGCTCGAGCTTCTTCACGGGCCGCGATGTACCCTGTTCAAATGCATGCTGGAGCCAAAAAAAAAAGAATAAAAAAAGAATAAAAAAAGAGAAACGGGGACGAAAAGAAACTGTCAGACGTGCTGCGGACATCAAAGAACCATCCCCACGTGATATTGGTGATGGCACAGTCCGAATACGACGTCTGCTGAGTTTCCTACTGGTTCGTTCGTTTTCACCCGGAACCGGATCTGTGGAGGATCCAGTGGGGAGATGCGGCCGGCACAGCACAAAACAAAAGGTGGTGGCTGGCAGCAGAGAGAGCTTGATGGTAGAACCAGGGTGGATGGGGGGCGACGCGAAATCGGGATTTTTGATCAAGTAAATCCGGGAAACATGGCGGCTATCCGCTACTTGAGGCAGGCGAGGCCAAAAAAAAGGTAAAAAAAGGAAGCGAAAATGTGCTGATAAGGGGCAAGATAATAGCGGACAGAGTAATAAGGATCCAGAGGATGGTTTCTGCCGTGGCACAGAAATTCTCTATAAGGGGTTATGTATATAGGAAACACTCGAGTATGCCCGAAAAGGGTATTTACCAAACGTGTGTGGTGCTGTTCCTTTATTAGGCAAAAATGGTGTTGCCTGATTGGCCCAAATTCGGGAAAGTGGGGCGATGCAGCCTCGTCACGGTCTATACCAATGTGGCAGAGCCCTCTTAACACGTCGGTTAAGCAACGCAAAGGGAAGAACCCCCGAAAAAGAATAAATGAAGAAAAAAAGAGAGAAGTACCGGGACAATTTACACTTCTGAGATGACGCACAGAGAGACGGGACAATAGAGAGAGGTATTCCCTGATGTTACGTTGCTGAGTCCAAAACAGGCAAGAGCCGTGATGGACAGTCCCAAAAAGGAAGGAACGGCAACTTTTCGACAACATCCATTTATTTTTCCTGTCTCATTTGCATCCAGTCTTCTCAGCAACCTTTGCAAGCAGCTAGCTTCCTTTCTTCCTTCTTCTCACACCCCTTGGAGTTTGCAATAATGGGTGTTGCATCCGGCAATGTCAGGTCACAGCTCACAGCACAGTTTGACTTCTCTCATTCCGTTTCCTTTTTTTTTTTTTTTTTTTTTTTTGTGACTGTTTCAAATGCTTCACACTCTTCTCTCATTCTCTGTCCCTAGATGCATATAAATATAATACTAGACAATGACCGAAGCCTCATATATCCTCTAGTCCCTCTTCTTTTCGCCTAGGTGTTAGCAAGCATTTCTTCTCTTGATTATCTATTATTCATCAGCCTCGGGATTTGGCATCTCACAAGGTCCATTCCACAGTACCAGGTGCTCTTTACGGACAAGTATAGTACTTACAGCCTTGCAGGCGGCCAAATACAAATGAAAGTGTGGCTTCATTTGGATAAATTCGAAAACTGCCGAAAAGAGCAAACATATGAGAAATAACACACACACAATAGACCGGGATATATCTTATCCCTCAATATAGTTCTTTGCCTCCCGTATGCTTTCTTCCACTCATCGCGACAAAATTGCCAGCTCCCTACCTGTACTTGTCGCGCAGAAAAACGACGCCTGATCGAGAATGAGATACACAAGCACCACGACACACGACACACGACACACGACACTATAAGCTCGACCAAGGCCGCAACGAGGCCACTCCTAACCACATTCTCGTCTACGTACTCATACACGCGCCACAGTTCTGGATGGGGCAGAATTTGGGTGGATTTCTCACAGTACTGAGCCTTTCACCTACATCGTCTATTTTGCCTAAACTGTTGCTCACCACGAAGTGGGTAGACCTTAGTTCCAGTGTCGGCCGACGACGGCCTACCGAGTCCCTTGTTCCTTGTTCAGACCAGGACTTGTGCGAATGAGGTTTGCCGTGAGATGCTGCCGGTAAGAAATGCCGCGGAGGCCGGGGAGGGGGAGGGGGGGTGCCAACAAAGACCAGACAGCTGGAGACAATCTCTGCTCGTCGTCTGTGCTCTGACGGTGGAGAGAATAACAGATGATGAGGTGACGAGCAGACTCAACAGCGGCCACTGGTCTATTCCTCTCCTCGGAAAAGTGATCTTTTACATCACATCTTTGCCACCTCACCGCATGCAGCAGGAAGATGATGGCAGTCGGAGGGCGGAGAGAGTCTCCATCTTCAGTCTTATATCACCACGCATGCCGGTGCTTCGAATGGCGCTATTTTCAGCGGCAGAGACGAGCCGTGAATTAGAATGCTCGCCACTTGGGGTGTGGCTTTATCTGGCTGTTGACTAGATCGTCGAAACGGTGGGAGCTCTTGCTGCCTACCACTTGCATGTACAGGTACGTCTGGTGCAATCCCCCAATGAAGGCCTGGAACTCAAACCTCGAAACGGTGCCCAGTTTGCAACGGATGAGAGGCCACCGACTGGACAGATGAGGTTCAAACAGTTAGGTTACGTACGGACTGATAGTTGTGATAGTTGTCTGCGTTTCTTTCGTTTGGTTTTATTTTCTGTAATTTTGTTAGTGGTAAACAATGCGAGAGTTCGAAGACAACGAAACAATCTACCGATTCCCAAAGATACAGGAGAATTACTTCGCTTCATATCACTTTGCCCTTTTATATGAATGGTAGCAATTAGGAGCTTTATGAAGTACATGTGTGGCATATTGCAAACAAAATTTTCCAATGTCGAGCAAAGACATGTAATCGCGCCATGCGAGTCAGGAAATAAAAGAAATTTATGACAATCTTGTGTTTGCCCAGATTCATCAATGTTTACTTTCGCGTGTTTAACGAGTATAGTTCGTTTATGAGATCTTAACGTACATCTATTTCTCCCCGTTCGTAGCACTCTGTGGCTGCCTATTTGTTTACTTCCTCGTGACTTAAATTGGGTTCATTCGCTAGAAAAAATGCAGAGGAATAATTGAACCAGGTGAACGGGTACAAACTTGAAGGTATGCGATCTTCTGGCCCTTGTTTATGTAAAGTGTATATATCTCCAGCTCTACCAAGTAGATTTGTGGTGTCAATATGCGTAAGACGCAAAACCAGAGAAGAAATAGAAAGGAAAATAAATTTTTCTTTGAAAAAAAAAAAACTTGACAATGGTATCAAACTTAACACTCGTTTTATTTTACCGCCCACGGCTTACACTTCCGTTGCTGACACTGCCCTGTTGACCGCGCCGGTTGTGCATCCCGGTGCGAGATGGCGATGCAGCAGCTGCCGCGCCGCCTGTCGGCTGCATCTCAATCACGACGGGACCAATCCCACCGCTGCTCTCGCCTAGCTCGGCGAGGTCTTCACGGCTGCGCTGGCGTACATTGACCGTCGACGGGTCCTCGCTGGGAACGATGGTTGCCGCACCACTGCTGTCAAACAGGCCGCCACGTCCAGGGGCTTGCCCTTTTTTCGGTTGTCTATGCGTCTCTCCCTGGTCATAGTTGCCACCTACACTCTCCATGGTAAAGGGACTTGCCGTCGGCGCATCCAGCGCCGCCAGCTCCTCGCCCGTGAAGACACGCGGCAGCAGCCAGGCACGCACGGGGATCAGGAACAGAATAAAGACGGGGAAGCCGACGGCCGCGATGGTCTGGGTGATGGCAAACGTGGCGCCAAAGGCGACGAGCTCAATGGCCACAAAGGCCCAGACGGGCCACTGGCCGCGGGTGAGCTGTTTGAGGGGGTGGCTGCGGGGGGTCAAGGACCTGTCGCGGAACAAGAAGAGCAGCTTGGCCGTGATGCCGTTGGCCTCGAGGGCCTGGACGCCCATGACGAAAAAGAGGCCAGCCAGCACGGCCTGGGGGATGAGGTGGATGACGACGAGGAGCGGGCCCGTCATAGTGCCAAGCGTCAACAGGCCCTGGGCAAGGTTGGAGGCGCGCTGCTCGACGACGTGGGTGACGCGGGCATGGACGGTGTTGCGCGGGTGGCCCTTGAACTCGCCGCCCTCGTCGTCGGCACTGCCGCTGCTGCCGCCGGTGCCGCCACCGCCGGCGGCCGTCGACGCGGGCGTAGCGGCCATATCTGCATCGTCCTTGACGACCTCGGTGACGCACAGGGACTCTGTGTGGAAGGGAGCCTGCGGGATGAGGCCGTTGGGGAAGGGCAGGCCGAGAATGCCGGCAACGCCCGTCGTCAGGCCCAGCAGAAAGAGGTCCCAGTGGAAACCGGCCGGCTTGCGCAGCGGAAACTCGGTGCCCTGCGCAATGAGCGAGGACACGTTGTGGTCAAAGTAGAAGAGGATCGTCAGCAGCACGGCAAAGGGGATGGCCAGGAACACATCGCCGACACGAATGTCCCAGAACCGCACCAGCCAGCTGCGCTCGGCATCGGTAGGCTCAAACGCGATGCCCGTCGGCAGCACCTCGAGCGACACCTGGCGCATGCGGCCAACGTGCACAAAGCCGGTAAAGAAGACGACGGTGAGCGGCGTGCCGTAGTCTTTGAGGAAGACGCGCACCGGGTGGGTAAAGAGGCTGCCACGGCCCATCTCGCCGCAGACGTAGGCCACGACAAAGACGGCCAGGCCAATGAAAATCGACAGGTAAAACGGCTCCGCGTCGCCCAGGCGCGACAGCACCTGGATGCCCTTTTGCAGGTAGATGAAGGCGACGTAGAACCCGAAAATGTCGCAGGGAAAACGCGTCACGTACTTGAGGGCGTTGCAGGCGTTGGTCATGGCCAGCGCCCAGTGGAACACCAGCGACCAGAGGCCGATCCAGCACATGAACGCCAGGTAGTTGGTGCCGCGCGGCGCGATAATGTCGTAGACGGTGTAGTTGAAGACGGTGATGGGGCCCGTCACGCCGACAATGACCAGCGGCTGGCACGCCAGTACGGCAAAGACGACGGCCCCCAGCACGGACGCCAGCAGCACCTCGTTGACGCCGTACTGCATGTGTGTCTTGGTGAACATGTCGAGCGAGAAGGCCAGCGCCGGCAGGATGTTGGCAAAGTACATGTACACCGTCGCCGGCACGACACGGTAGTCCCATGCGTCCACCCAGTCGCTCAGGTAAAACGGGGCGCGCCGCCGGACATCGTTGGCCATGCCGCGGAAAAGGTGCACTTTCCACCAGGCGGGACGGGACGTTGCCGTTGGCGGCGAGGATGGCGAGGATGGCGAGGATGGCGAGGATGAGGACGCCATGGTGTCGTTGGGAGCGCCTCGTCGCCGGCTGCTGCGAGCGTGGCGCTGGACAGACGAGGCGAGGCGTCTCGGCCAGTTGTTCCTGCTGTTGTTGTCGTTCGCGTCACGGGCCGGGCCGACAGGCCCATTTGCTCCTGCCCCAAGAGCAGACCCGGAGCCAGCACCGACGCCTGCAGCCGTGCTGAGATAGCGACCGCCGGAGTGGAGCGCGGCTGGGAGCGATAGTGTGTCTCTGGCGGTATGTGAAATGATGAGGGAAGGCGGTGTGTTCCTACACAGGCGGAGACAGAGAAAGGAGGAGGGCACGGGTGGTGAGAGGGTAGAAAGTCGATATCATATGTCCGACGAAGAAAAAAGTAAAGGTCAAAAGATGAAGAAGGACCGATAAATGAAGAAACGGAAAGCGCAAAGGATGTACAGCGGAGCGGGAGCCGTTCCCCGGAGTCGCGCTAGCGTGTGTCCCACCTCACTTACCTTTCCGGAGCGACCAGACTGCTGGCTCTGCCTTGTCCAGAGTTGATTTCCGGATTGATTGTCAACACAAGGAGCGTTTGCTGTTGCATTGATTGCGTTTCGACGCGGTTATGGGACCAACAGCGCGGACATGACCCGGGGATGTGCGTCCTGATGTTCGCTGCGGCCAAAAAATCCAAAAACCAGCAGTCCCACGCCATGCGCCTTTTTGTGGGTCCACGCTTCCGCAGTTCGCAGATGAGTCTGAGATGGACCGACGTGCATTGGGGCCAGTTCTCCTCTTTGGTTTCTCCCAAGTCAGCAGGTCGGGTCAATCGATTCTGGTTGTAACTTTGATCTCTACACTCTAATTCCGCCCCCCCGAGATCGATGCCGGTGGTCGCCTCCGCGTCCCCGAACAAGACGCTCTTCACCGCTTCACTGGGAGAACGTTCAGGCACGCGTGTTGTCCTCGATAGGCCCGAACAGGTAATATATTCATTCGTTTGTTCGCCTGAACTGTCTTTATTCGGTTTCCTACCGTTGCATGATAATTTTGTTCTTGTTCTTTTGGTACACCCAAGTCCTCTAGTAGTCGTAGAAGCCCTTGCCGCTCTTCTTGCCCAGCCAACCTGCATCCACCATCTTGGCCAGCAGCACGCTCGGCCGGTACTTGCTGTCGCCCGTCTCCGTGTGCAGCACCTTCATAATCGACAGGCACGTGTCCAGGCCGATAAAGTCGGCCAGCACCAGCGGGCCCATCGGCACGTTGGTGCCGTTTTTCATGATGGCGTCGATGCTTTCGCGGTCGCCCACGCCCGTCTCCAGGCAGATGATGGCCTCGTTGATGTACGGCATCAGAATGCGGTTCGCCAGGAAGCCGGGCGTGTCGGCGGACGTCGACGAGATCTTGCCCATTTTTTCGCAGAACGCCACAGCCGTGGCCAGCGTCTCGGCGCTCGTCTGCAAGCCGCTGATAATCTCGACGCCCTTCTGGATGGGCACGGGGTTCATGAAATGCGTGGCCACGACGCGCGAGGCAATGGCGGCGGCGGCCTCGGAGGCAGGCGGCTGGCCGGACGCGGCAGCGGCCGCCGCAGCAATCTTGGTGATGGAGATGGAGCTCGTGTTGGTCGCCAGGACGGTATGCGGCGCTGCGATGCCGGCGAGGCGCTTGAACAGATCAAACTTGAGGTCCGGGATCTCGGGGACGGCCTCGATGACCATGTCGACGCCCCCAAGCTCGTCGAGCGACGTCGTCGGTGTCAGGCGAGCGCGCGCAGCATCGGCGTCTTCCTGCGAGATGCGCGACTTGCTCACGTCCTTGGCCAAGAGCTTGTCGGCAAAAGCGAGGCCCTTGTCGAGCGAGGCCTGCGACGAGTCGACGACCGTAACGGGGACGCCGGCGCGTTGTGCGGCTACGAGGGCAATGCCGAGGCCCTGAGCGGTCTGTTAGTTGTCCTTTCTCTTTCTCGCCGTGACGTTCATTGGGTCTTTCTGCGCTGTCTAGGGTCTGAACCCACCATCTGGCCGGCACCAATGACACCAATGCTCTTCACATCGGCCGCGGGCCGTGCAGCCGTCGTACTGAAACAGCGCACCGGTCGCGGCAGGGCGGCCGCGCGAAGGAGGGTTGGGAGTCTCTGCATTGTGTGGGGGCGAGTCGTTCGAGAGGGCGAGGCTGAACACGATTCAGGTTGCAAGAAGGAAAAAGACGAATGTTAATGGAACGACGACTAAAAACAGAAAAGCCCAAATTCTGTCATCACCAGGGTTCGTAGAAAGCACGATGCTGTCTCAGGCCCGGCATTCGCTTATCCTCGGCCTGTCGGTGATTTTGTGCGAATCCCCACTATTACGTAGGTCGCGGGCGCAAACGGACGCGAACTACACACGGATACAGTGGTTCGATGAGAATTACAGGCGACCATTCGCCTGTTTCCAAGGCCAATTGGGGGACAAACAGTTGCCCCTCCAGGGAGGTCTCCAAGCACGTGCAAATTGGGCGGTGTGGGGCAGCTCGGATAGCTCCAAACGCCAAAAGAACCAACAGGCAAGCGCAACAACAAGCGCAACAGCGAGTGCAACGGCAACCGCTAGTTGTTGACATTAGCTTCTCACCAATCAGTCTCAATACCTCACCAAATATTGCAAGTTGCAACGCAAGGCCATACCTGGCGGTTTCTTCTTCATAATCTATTAAGTACACGTCATCCTCGGGCCCGAATGGAACAGCCTCGTGGTGCCGCCGCGGCTCCCGGGAGCCTGCCGTTGGATCACCCCTATTACCCTCCTGGCCTCTCCATCCCCAACTTTGATCCGAACACGTCGCCATTATGGCTGCTGTTTGTTTACTTTGCCTCTGCCCTGGCAATGTTTTTAGTGGCCGCCTTTCTCGTGGCGCGGCTCGCAACGCCCCGTTTCCGCCAGGCTCCCTTCTCTGACAAGGCGTTGTTTATTTGGTTCACCTTGTGTAGGTCGTTCGAAGCAGTCATGCTTTTTCTAGTGCGGTTCATACTAACACACGATGTGCAGGTGGCGGTCTCCACTGGTTCTTTGAAGGTAAGTTTGCATTTCAAGCCTCTCCATGCTTGCTTTTGCTAATGTCTCCAGGCTACTTTGTCAAGCACCACGCCACACTTGCCGGCTCACAGACGGTACGCGCACAGCTCTGGAAGGAGTACGCGCTGTCAGACTCGCGGTACCTCACGTCGGATCCCTTTATGCTCTGCGTCGAGGGTCTGACCGTGCTGGTCCAAGGCAGTCTCTGTTTTCTGACTGCAGCCACTATCGTCTACGGCGCTCGTTTGCCAGCGGGCCGCTCCGGTTTGCGGCACGTTTTGCAGATGGTTGTCAGCACGGTGCACCTGTTTGGCGTCTTGCTGTACTACGGCACGCTTCTGTTTGAGGAGTCCATCCACGGAGCGAGCCACTGCCGGCCCGAGTTTCAGTACCGCTGGGTCTATTTTGCGGGCATGAACGCGCCGTGGGTTGCGGTGCCACTCTGTACGTCCCATACGTGATAAGGTCTGCTCAAGATTGCGACTGACCCTTTCTCGCCAGATGCTCTCTACTCAAGCTCAAAATCGATCTGCCGTGTGTTCGCCACCGTCAACAGCATCAGCATCGATGTGCTGAGCGTTTGTGGAGCGCAGACATCAGGGAAGAAAGACCAATGAATCTATACAGCGTCTTGACGTGAATGGAATATTAATCAGATCTGTGAGCATCGTTTTCGTATTTATTTTTCGTGCCACCTAGCTCCTTTATTCCAAGCTCTTGAGGAACTTCGTTACCCGGTCGGCCACCCATAACTGTGCATCGGGCTGCTCAACCGCGTGGCTCGCACCCGGAATGGAGCCCGAGAATTCACTAAAGACACCCGGCGGGCAGAACGACTTCCAGCGCGCCACATTCTTGGGCACGTCGATCGTCTTGGGGACACACTCGTCCTTCTCGGACGGCAGCACAAGGACTGGCTTGGTGAACTGACTCCACTCGTCAGCGAGACGCTCGTCGGGCAGATCCGACGAAAAGAAGTCGTCGTCGCCACTGAAGTCGGTATTAGTGGTGAAAAGGATAGGGTACGGACAATAAAGGCGAAGTTGGAAGGAACCCACTTGAACGAAACCAGAGAGTGCCAGCGGTAGGCGGAGTGCGGTGCCGTAATCATCTCGGGCATGTACTCGGGCGGCACAATCACGTCTGCCTTCCCCTCCTTGATCATCCTCTCCGTCGCCGCCACTGTCATGTCATGCTCGCCGGGCTTAAAATACGGCACAAGGCACTCGCGGTCCGACACGGGCCCCTGGAGGATGAAGCCGCTGACCTCGGGGCTCGTGCCCGCCTTCATCGCCTTGGCGTACGCCATCTGGTCCTGGCAGCCCGTCGAGTGGCCCAGGAAGACAATTTTGTCGCGGCCCAGGTTGTCCTTGAGGTGCGTCACCAGCGCCGACAGGTCCGCCACGTCGTCCGTCAGCCGCTTGAAGCCGTAGCCGTGGAACGAGCTGGACATGCGCAGCTCAAACACCGAGTAGCCCAGGTCCTTGGCAGCGTCAGAGGTCGCCAGCTGGTGCGCAATCGTGCGGATGTAGGGCGTGGTGTGCGGGCCGTCTGTCAGGCCGCCGATGAAGACGAGCGCATGGCGGGCGCCGGCCGAGTTGGCCGTGACGAGCTCGTAGGCGCACGAGTGACGGGTGGGCGAGTCAAAGGGGTGCACGATGACCGAGAAGGGTGCCTTGAGGCGGTTTTCGGGAACGGCAGTCATGGTGCAATGTGCTGGGACTGGGACGAGAGGTAAGAAGAAATGGCGATACGAAGACGTTGAGATGGGAAAGCAAGGGAAAATGAGCAGAAGCGTAAGGTGATTCAGCAGCGACAATACAGGAAAGACCGAGGGCCTCTACTTATAGAATGCACCTTCCTCTGCGTTACTGCCAAGGATCTGATAAAATGGACTGGACAGATTTTCAAGAAAGAACGTCTCCCTCATCGCACCTTCTCTCACCAGTGGACTTCCTTGGCACTGGCGACGTTGAGGAAAGCTCCACTGAATGATAGCTTGTGACGACGCTGTGAGCCCCACCCCCACCTGCAAAATGCACAAAAAACCACCAAAGGCACCTTCATCTGATAGCTAAGTCGCTCCTACCTAATACTTAGTGGTGGGGACCAAATGTGTGTCGCACTTGCCTTTGCGCTCCGGGCGACTTTTGTCATCGTGCCTGCCAGCCCAGTCGCTTTCCCGTTTTAGCGTTCACCAAAGCTCCGACTGCAGACGTCAAAGCACCAAAGAGACATTGGCCCCAAACAAACTCCATCGACACGTCCCTCACTACGAGCACAGAAGCCAACGACAAAGCGAGCACACGAGCACGCGCACAGACATACAAGAGACGTCGTAACATATCCGCCATGCGGTAGGAGCATACCTCCTCAACGCGATGGACTCTCATCCGCAGCTGGCCTTTCGGAACTCCTCCACGCAGCGGTCCGAATTCTTCAACAAGGTGAGATGGAAGGCTGGCCGGCGTGTAGGAAATGGAAGGGCGGCGTCCTCTTGCTAACAACAGTACAGCTCAAACCATGCTGCCTTGAGATTGCCAAAGCACTGCGCAAAAGCGGTGGCCGCGATGCCGATCCACGGGAGACTGCGGCTGCGGCTACCAGCATGACGTCGCAGACAGATGTGCTGTACGGCCTCCTGACTGACCAGGTCGGGTACGATGCCGCCGTGCTGGATGCTTCTATGGCGGACTACGCGTCGTTCCCACTTCTGACGATCCTGCAGCACATGACCTCGTACCCTGCGCGCCTGTTGGAGAACGCCACAAAATGTCTGCGGGTGCTGATCCAGCACGGCTGGCGGACCTCAATTTCGGGCGAGAATGCACAGCGGCTGCTCATTCTCCTGACGACCGTCGTCACAGGCGGCCGGCCCGCAGGGCGAACAGACAAAGACAAAGTCGTCCAGGTCCAGACCCAGGCATTTTTGCCCGAAGAGACCGTGGCCGAAGGCTACCGCGCGTTAGCGGCACTGATGAAGACAGCCGGCGCGGCGACCGCCAAACCCGGCTCGGCCGAGTCACCACTGGTCACGGCCAATGCGGTGCCCGTGCTGGCCCACGCCGTGTCGGTTATGCTCGAGGGCGTGGCGGACTCCATCATCCCGACCATCCAGATCGAGGCCCTCGGTGCGCTCGCAGCGCTGTACACGACGGTCAAGGACCAAGAGGCGCTGGCCTCGTTTCTGCCCGGCACGGTATCCGGACTCGTCCGTGTGGTCGCGCAGCCAGGCGCACACAAGACGCAGAAACGCGTGGTCGTCCGGACACTCGAGGTGCTGTTTGCGGTGCTCGTCAACACCCTGGGCGACCTGCAGACAAGGCGTCTCCAGAGGGACAGCGCTGGCGAGGGCGACAAAGACACGAAAACGAAAAAAGAAGAGCCTGACAACGAGGTGGAAGAAGAGATTATCAGCGATACCGTATCGTCCTCGGAGGTACTTCCATCGCTGGCACAAGCACCGACACGGACAGCAGAGAAGAAGCAAAAGCTCGGCAGAGCATGGCTCAACGCGACAGCGGCGCAGATTAAGCTTGCACTCAGCAGTGTGTTAAAGCTGCGCAACCACGAGTCCGAGGACGTGCGCGACGCTCTGCAGCAGTTTTGCGTCGGGCTATTGGACGAATGCCACACGTCTCTCGCCGACAGCACGTCCATTCTTGTCGAGACTGCGATTGTGACGTCGCCGACAAAGGTGGATGACTACGGCGGCGACACTCTCGATTCACTAAACGACTCTACCGCCTTCCGCAGTTTTGGTCCGCAGACGACGCTGCATCATCTCGCTATGCTATATCCTGAGCTCAGTGATGTAATCAAGGCGACGGCGTACAACTGGGCCACCAGCTTACCCCGCGCGATGCAGGCGAGCGACGAAGTCGTCAAGCAACGGGCGCTGCGCAACGTGCAAAAAGCCGTGGCTGTAGTCGAGGAACTGCATCTGGACTCGACAGTGCTGCAGACATCGCTGTCAGCGGCGTTACGGGACAGCATTTCCACGCTGGTGCACGCGTCGGCTGGGTCGCGGGCGGCTGTGAGCGAGGCCGTCTCAGAGGATGCCATCCTGCAGTTGGCGGACAGTACACCGGCTGGGGCAGATGGCAACCCCGACAGAAAGCTGGCCACCGACGGAAGCACCCAGTTGGCAACACAATCCATGGCTGTCTACAAGCCTGTCCTTCTCGGTCTGGGCAGCCAAAAAGACACGCGCGATGCCGTACTGGACCTGATTGCACACGTTGGCCCGCCTGCGCAGCAAGCACGGCTGGCGGGCGACATGCTGGACGTGGCACGGGACGCCGAGGGGGTGGACCAAGTGTCTGCGTATTGGCTGTCGTTTGAGCTGGTCAAGGCGGCATTGTCGGGTGTGGAGGACGACCCGGACAGCTTGTTGGACTTGTCATCGCTCAACGAGGAGGCCAAGGCCGATGCCGAAGCGGTGTTTGAGGACCTGTTTTCGTATTCGGTGTCTGCACTTGCGGCGCATTCAGACGTCACGTCCGTTGTGTCGACGGCCGACGGTGAGGCGGATTGGCGTGTCGGGGCGATTGCACTGGAGGTGACTGCGTATGCGGCGGCCCGCCTTGGTGAGGCGTTCCGACCAGAGCTGATTGACGTGCTGTACCCGATCGCGACGTACCTTGGCGCGCCCGAGGACCGGCTGCGCGCACACGCCGTGGCGACACTGAACAGTCTGGCCTCGTCGTGCGGTTACGACAGCGTGTCTGCATTGATTGTGGACAACGTCGACTACATGCTCAACTCGGTGTCGCTGCGGCTGAACACGTTTGACATTTCGCCGGCCTCCACACGGGTGCTGACCATGATGATCCGCCTGGCGGGAGCGCGGCTGGTGCCGTACCTGGACGACGTGGTGGCGGCCATCTTTGCGGCGCTGGACAACTACCACGGATACCCACTGTTTGTGGAGAACCTGTTTGCGGTGCTGAGCGAGGTGGTGCAGCAGAGCGTCCAGCCGTCGTCTGCGACGCAGCTTTTGGAGGATGGCAAGGGCTCAAAGAAGGCGAATATGTCGTCGTCGTCGGCATCTGCAAAGAATCGGAAAAGACGCCCTGACCCGTCAACGACCAACGATCTTGTGGCAATTCTGGACCGGCGGACTAAGCGTCGGAAAGAGCTGGAAAGAGAGGCCGAGGACGATGACGTGGAAGAGATTGGGCATCCAAGGCAGCCGTGGAAGGAGGCGGCATCCGAGGCTGACAAGCTACTACGCCAGCATGAGAGAAGGAGGAAAGATGGCAAAGATGGAGAGGAAAAGGAGGAGGAGGACAAGGAGAACGAAGACGACGACGACGATGACGACGCCGAGCCGACGGATACCAACAAGGAGGGCAACGAGGTCGGCAAACCAGAAGATCCCAAGACGCCCACGTACGCGCTGCTCGCACGCATCACTACGTTAACCCAGCACTACCTGACGGCGCCCACGCCGACGCTGCGCAAGTCGTTGCTGGACCTGCTGGGAACGGTGGCGCCGGCGCTCGCATCGGCCGACGAAAACGCTTTTCTGCCGCTCGTCAATGCGGTCTGGCCGGTGGCGGTAGCACGGCTGTACGACCCGGCGCCCTATGTCAGGATGGCCGCGTGCGAGGCGCTGGCGGCGCTGTGTGCGAGCGCGGGCGATTTCCTGTCGACGCGCATCAAGGCCGAGTGGCATGCAAAACTGGGCGGCTGGGCGACACGGGAGAAAGCGGCAGCGGCCGCCAAAGTGGTGGCGTCCACGTCTACAGCATCTTCGACGGCGGCTACATCTACGGCTACGATGCCCACACGGTCAGCCAGTCCCAACGCACATTTCGGCGAACGGCCGTCGGTGATTCACATCCACCAACGGGCGACAGCGACGCGGTCTCTGTCCACCTCCCAACCAACAGGCGAGGACCAGCTGGTGCCCTCGTCGTCGTCCTTGTCGTCCGTCTCCACTGGCCTGGGACGTTTTGCGCAGGCCGTCCAAATCTGGGAGGCTCTGGCTGGCCTTCTCACAGCGGTTGTCACGTATGTGAAACTGGACGACGATGTCTACGACTCCATCTTGGAGCTGCTCTTGGGCACGTCGGCGTCGCAGAGCCGCATGCTGCCGGTATCGGAAGAGCGTCGGGCACGCGAAGCGCTCGCCGTGGTCAATGCAGACGCAGTGTGGCTGGCGCGGTATCGGGCGGGGCAGCTTTCAAAGAGGCGTGACGAAGATGCAGCTGAAGACGATCACGACGACGCATGGATGATGGCAACACCACCCGTCTTGGCGGGCGTGCAATTTGTGCCTCTTGTTGGGTAGCCGAGCCCGGCAGCACTGTGCCCGGGAGAGACAAAATGCAGAGCGAAGACAGCGATGTCGAGGGCAGATGCCTAGAATAGACGGTTGAACCTCACACGAAACTATTTATGGACACAAAAAGTTTAGACACAAGGCGTATCTGCAGAGAGGCAGACCAACGACGGCATCGAGTCGATTTGAGACAATATCATTTTGGCCTGCCTTGGCTGCAGAGTGAAAGTGGAGGCAATGTGTTGTTCGTTCAGTTTTGACAGCAATACTACTGGCAATTCCGCGGTATTGTTTGTTCGAAAGGCTTGTTTCAGTAGTTGTCCATTTGTCGTTTATGGGTAGCCTGAAGACTGTTAGGCTGTACTAGCGTCGTCTGTGTTTTTGACCAGAGAAGTGCAGAGTGTATCCAATAGCCTCGAGGAAGCAAAACGAAGCGGTTCATGTAGTTGGTCAGTTGAGATGAGCTGCCGTAAGTAGCCCATTGGTTCGATTCAGCCTCGCCTGGCGCTAGACTATGCGTAGGTGCAGGCAACCAAATCAATAATACCAAAGATTTAGTCTTCCAATTGAGCCTCTGCACGGTTTACACGAATTGACCAACCTGGACTGCCTGTTTACAACGCGACAGAGGAGAGCCCTCGTCGATGAAGCCAAGCCAAGACAGGTGAGTCCTTGGCGTCTTGCCAGCAGGCCAGCAGCCCAGCAGCCCAGCAGCCCAGCAGCCTCCACTCGACAGTTTTTACGCCCGACAGACCAACAAAGCAGAAGGGCGGCAGTGAGGCTTGATTTGCAAGCCCCCTGGATGGCTGTTCCGTCGTCTCCTTTATAAATCGATTCAAGATATAGATAGCCATTGGCTGTGTTGATGTGAAATCAATGCTCGTCGAGCCGACTAATCTATTCTATTACGTTTTCTTTTGTCACGAGTAATGTCGGACAGTTGTACACAGTATGCGAATCTCTTAGCCCGCTGAAAACGTGGTTGTACGAAGGACTTTTGTGCGTCTTCTCCATGCTCTGTCAGGAATGCCAAATCCTTCGCCCCGTACGAAACATGCGACCGCACAGACGACAAACATTGGCGAGTTTCGGTGAGGCGATGTGGAAGCAGGTCGCGTGAGGATGGTGGAGGGGTGAAAGGGAGAAGGATCTGACGAAGTCGTTGTTCGCAATAAGTAAAGGTCACATCAGTCTGACAAACGTGGGGCCGCATAACGACAGTGATCCCTGCCATGCAAGCCAAGGAGAGGGGAGTAACAGGGTCGATGCTGCTTGCGGGACTTTGAGAAGAAGACAAGTCTGGATCCACGACGTATCGAGCAACGAGACGCCGATGGAGCGGCAGGATGCGATCAGCCAAACACGACATCACAGAGCACAAAGCCTGCATGGAAGCATGGAAGCATGGAAGCATGGAAGCATGGAAGCATGCATGGAAGCCATAGAAAAGCAGTCTAGTCAACGCGTTCGAGGAAATCCAGCCAGCGTTGCATCCGGAAAGTTGGAAGCCTACGGCTGACTGTGGCAATGCTGCTGTTGATCGTCGAGGTGGTGGAATGCGGTTGGTCGCGAAGAGGACTGGAAAGAGGGGACGAGGGACGAGACAAAAACGCCTAGAAGGCTTCTAGAAGGAGTTTGTTTGCTGGCGTGCAGAAGGATCGGCAGATGCATTGGTGGTGTGGGGAAAAGAGCCGCGGCCTCGGGTGGTCGGCTTGGGGTCGGCATCTCGGCATTCTCGTCGATTGTGTCTGTGTGTGTCCTGCTTGCTCCTTCCGCATGTTGAATACGCAGCGGCAGTGCAGGGCACTTTCCTTCGGGGGTCGGTCTGGTACACACAGCCGAGGAGGGAAGGACGCTTTCCACTTACAGCAGGGATGGTGCGATTCTAAGGGTCGTGGGGAAGGCGCGGGCCTGACCTAGGAGGCAGGGAGGTCATGTACACAGCAAGTTCCGCGCGCCACATACGACGATGCAAACAAGAACGAGCGCATACAGACTACACAGTACGACTTACATGCTCCGCTGGTCGGGGCCGCATTTTTCTTGCCCTGCTGCCCTTTTTCCCTTTGCTGTGTATTCACGTCTCGATCGTCGCCCCGTCGTCTTAACCTCTTTCCTATTTTGTCTTAACCCTCCGTGTGGATCGCTATCTGGACTTTCTCGGCCTTCTTGGCGGGAGGTACCGCCACGCCTCGTCATTGAGGAAAGTACGGATTTGTGAGCGTCGTACGACAGAAGTACTGCAAATACGAGGAGCAACCAGCAATGCACTGCCGCGGACGTGGTCTCGGAGGGAATGTCTACAACCAACCGACCCTCTGGGCATGCATTTGGAGTGGAAAGGGGAGGTAGAAGCCTCTCTCCCGGCCTATCTGCGATAGACGATATCATGCCGTAGTTTTGTTGCCTCATTTCTTTTCCACTGTACAAAACAGGCCTCATGCAACTGAAGCCGTCGACGTTGGAGACAAGTGGACAAACAGCGAGAGCGATCTGCTTCCTTTGTCTCCGTCTGTCCAAGCACGTCCGTCCGGTCATTTCGTCTGTTTGTCTGACTATCACTTTGCTTTGTGGTTGGTCGACTTACATAACATGTACTGTGCAGAATACAAAATACAAACGACGCTCTCCACAATGTACATTCCTGATCTCGCTGTTGGACGTCGTTATTCAAATGACTTCCCCGCTGGTCTTCGCCATAAATGCTAAGATCCTTGGTTGGCAAACCGCTAAAAGCCACTCTTTCCAGCCGATTCAGACCAAATTTGGGGTCAAAGCACGCCCTAAAGTAGCCCTTGTGCCACAAGGCAGCTTCAAGTCTCCCTACCTTTTGCCCGACTAGGATACGATGCAGTCTAACACTACGTTTATTCTTTGCCTCGTTTGTTTCCTCCGTTTTCCCCATATTTTGGTATGTCGCTTTTTTATATTTGATTCCTCTCATCCTTACTTGTACTGAGAAATTCTTCCATTTTACTTACCACATCGTAGTCCTGGTGTTTATCTTCTTGCCTTAGTCGTGCAGGATTGCCACCCAAAATCCCCACTTGATATCCACTCGACCCTCTCTGTTTCAACGTCGTACGGTTCTTACCATAAAAGTTGTATGTGGATTTTGCACGGAATATTCGTACTGTGTATGTTTTAGCATATTTCTCCTCGGCCACCTCTGTTTTAGGAAATTTTGTCCTGGATGTTCTCGAACAAAGACAAAGCCTCGGCCAAGAATTCTTTCAACGTTCTTTTCGTGTGCTTCTGTCCAACGTTTTACAAATGCCGTGACCTGTATTCCCCGTCTGCCCTGCTGTGTCTCTTCCTTCTCGAGTTCCACCACCAGCCACCGCCATGACACCGCCTAGCGAGGCCTTCTTTGCCACATCTCTTCATACTTATTTGCTCGTCCTTACACATCCACTGGCACATGGTCAGCTGCACGTGTTTCCGCCCAGATTTTCCCCCAGAATACGGCACTTTCAGGCTTTAGTGTCCTGTTGGGTGGCTTCGTATTACTAGCCAAGGCTGTAGATAAGGCTGTACTTGTAAATAGTTTATAGCTACGTAGTTCAGTGAAGACGAAAAAAGCCAAGATGCTCCACGGCTCCCTCAAGGCGGCTTTTTGTCAGCGCCGCCAGCACACAGCACACCAGGGCGCAAGACAACACATCTTCCTAGCGTCTTCTTCGTACCACATATGCGTGCATGGGATCGTCCGTGTCTGTTGGCCGGGGTCCCGAATTATATACGCCCCCCCCCCCCCCCCCCCCCCCACCCTTTTCATGTCCGCCATCCAATCCGTTCCTTCCATTTATATCCCAGAATGCCCTGCACCTTCCCATGTTGACCGTCCAGGCTGATCAGGCTGACTCCTGCCCATTTCGTCTCTTTCCCATCTCGTCTCCATCTCGTCTCCATCTCGTCTCTCATATCCACATCTCCGCCTACCATCATCCGTCTGTCGTCCCCCCTCGTCTTCTCTCTCTATTAAAGCGGCGGCCGTCCCTCGTCATCCTCCACTCTCTCCACAATCTCTTTCTTTATTTCCCCGACTTCCCCAGGATAGGCTTGCTCAAACGGGTCGTCGTATTCATATTGAACATCAGCCTCAACGGCTACCAAGTCATCGCCTTCCAACGCAGAGCAAGACTCACCCAACACCCCCTTCTCGACCTCTCACCTTATCCTCCCCATACCACCCCGCTCACCCCTTCGTGCCACTATGAGCGGCCAGGACGAGAAGAACGTTTACGCCCGCCCGGATGCCGCCCACCTGGCGCCGGCCCGCGTCGAACACCATGACATCCTCCCCAGCGATGAAGAGGTCGGTGTTGTGCGCCCCAACAAGCCCGGCCCGGGCGACGACGGCAGCATTGCCAACGGCACGCTCCACCGCCAGCTCAAGGGCCGCCACATGCAGATGATTGCCATTGGCGGTGCCATTGGTGCTGGTCTGTTTGTTGGTTCCGGCGGCGCGCTGCACGCGGGCGGACCCGCGTCGCTCGTCATTTGCTACCTGATTGTCGGCGTCATGCTACTGTTCACCTGCCAGGCGCTTGCCGAGCTGGCCGTGCTGTACCCGGTCAACGGCGCCTTTTACAGCTACGTGGTCCGCTTCGTCGATCCGGCCTGGGGGTTTGCCACGGGCTGGGACTATGCCCTGACCTGGCTGACCGTCCTGCCCTTTGAGCTGACGGCCGCCTCGATCACGATCCGCTTCTGGCGCGAAGACTTGAACGAGGGCATCTGGATCGCCGTCTTCCTGGTGGTCCTGATGAGCATCCAGGTCTTTGGCGTCAAGGGCTACGGCGAGGTCGAGTTCGTGCTGAGCATGGTCAAGATCTGCGCCTGCGTCGGTTTCATCATCCTCGGCATCGTCATCAACGTTGGCGGCGTTGGCAGCCAGGGCTACCTGGGTGCCAAGTTCTGGTACGACCCGGGCGCCTTCCAAAACGGCTTCAACGGCTTCGCGAGCGTTTTTGTCGTGGCCGCCTTCTCCTTTGGCGGCACCGAGCTCGTCGGCCTGGCGGCGGCCGAGACCAAGAACCCGCTCAAGTCGATTCCCACTGCCACCAAGCAGGTGTTTATGCGCATTGCCTGCTTCTACATTGTCAACCTCTTCATGCTGGGCCTCATCCTGCCCGCCACCGATAGCCGCCTGCTGGGTGCCGAGGGCGCAAACAGCAAGGCCTCGCCCTTTGTCCTCGCCATCCAGGACGCCGGCATCAAGGTCCTGCCGTCCATCTTCAACGCCGTCATTACCATCTCCGTCATCAGCGTCGCCAACTCGTGCACGTTCGGCTCGACGCGCACCATGCAGGCCATGGCCGAGCACGGCATGGCCCCCAAGTTCCTCGCCCACGTCGACAGCAAGGGCCGTCCAATCTGGTGCATCGTCGTCCAGTTTGCGTTCGGCCTGCTGGCCTTTATCGGCGAGTCGGGCCATGCCACCACCGTCTTCAACTGGCTCCTCTCGCTCTCCGGTCTCTCCTTCCTCTTTGTCTGGGGCTCCATCTGCCTGACGCACATCCGCTTCCGCTACGTCTGGCAGGCCAAGGGCCGCACGCTCGACCAGATCCCCTACAAGCCCAACTTTGGTGTCTATGGCAGCTGCGTCGGCCTGTTTTTGAACATCGTTTGTCTTATCGCCACCTTTTACAGCGCTCTGTATCCGTCGCCGGGCGCCACGCCGTCGGCCTCGGTCTTCTTCCAAAAGTACCTGTGTATGCCCATTGTCTTGCTCCTGTACGTCGGCTGGAAGATCTATGCTCGCGACTGGCGCTTCTACGTCCCGACCGAGGACATTGACGTGCTTGATGGCCTGTGTGACTTCGTGCCGCCGCCGCTCGAGGAGGACCGCGCGCCCAAAAAGTGGTCGAACCTGCCGAGGCGGGTGTTTAATCAACTGTTCTGAGGTTGATTAAAAGGCGAGCGAGGAACAGGAAAACAGACGATTTGAAGGCAGACTGAGCGCACGGCGAGCGTGCTGTTGATGTTGATTTATATTGACTTAGTGATTCCGATTCCGTCATTCTTTTGTTCATACCCCATGGCGCTGTGGGAGATTTTCCTCACCATATATTCCATACACTCAGTACACATCCTACACACTCTGTATACACGAGAGCATAGACTAAACTTACAACAATATGTCAAACTGTCAAGCTTACTACGTACTACACACACTGCATAAACTGTTGCAATCACAATCTATTCATATGCCTAATACGTTCTTCCGTACTCTGACCATCCCCCAACCACAATGCATCGATGCTCCATCCAACGCCGCAATCATCACTCATGTTCTATGCATATCGTTTGAGACCGGGTTGGCACTCTCGCTTCGTGACGCAATCACAAGTTACGTACTGGCTGCCGTGCCGGTGCCTGCTGCCGGCGGGTACTCCTTGCCGTCCACAGTCACCTTGGGCGTGCACGCGCACCACTCGGTCTCGGCAACACCGGCGAGGGCTTGCGGGATGTGGCGGCCGCAGCCGCGCCAGGTCTGCTTTGCTGGGAGGTGGATGTTATCAATGTTGAACGTCGAGAAGGACGAACAGGGACAAAGGGCTGGGGCTGGGGGCAGCCGACAGAGACGACCGACGGGGTGAAGAAGCTTACAGCAGGTAGGACAAGTTGCACCCATACACATGATGACGGATGGATAGATCTGTTGGTAGTGGAGACGTCGATTGTGGCGTTCTTGTTGACGTGAGTAGAAGTCGAAGTTGCTGAGGTGAGCAAAGCAGTCAGAGGACGCTTTGCAGGTGACGATGTGGGGGGTTAGTCGAAAAGTGGGCGAGCTAACCTTTTCACTGGCGTGTGGTGGTGAGTGGGACAAGATCGAAGACGCTGGGAGAGCAAAATCGAAAGTGGTGACATGAAGGAAGAAGAGGACGAAACGAGATGGAAATTGACTCTTTTTGAAACATTCCCAAATTGGATGCCATGATGATAGGGTTGCCGAAGCAAGGAAGGAACCTGGTAAAAGGAGCTCGCCGACCTGTGGAAAGTGCAACCGGGGAACGGGAACACTGCACGACATGGTGGAGCCCTAATCGGCGACGCTCCAGCTCGATTCCCCTCTTTTGGGACCTAGTGCGTGCTTTGTCATGGACAGCTCGCCGTCAACGATGAGGACGGCACGATCGGGTGGGAAAGGAGACACTACGACATACGTTGCAGTTGTACACAAACACGCCATATTCAAGTCTTGAGATATGACGGGTGGCAAAAGACGGTCCATCGTAAAAGGCTACTATCATTGACTGCATCAACAACTTCACTTCGCTGTCTAACCATCCAGCAATGGCATGATTCTATAATACGTCGGATCTTCCAAATTCAAAGCCAATGCAAACAGGATCGGGTGAAGAACCACGAGATGGAGGTTTTTAATCCTGTGTAGAGTCCTGTGTGACGAAGGATGAAAATCTGCGAAAGGCCGATGCAAGACCAGATGTGACAGATATTATGTATATATAATATGGGGGAATACGAAAGTAGACTATAAATTGGACCAACGTGTAAAGGCGCCGATCTCTGCCAAGAAATGAAGACACACCAAAACTGGGTTGACCGTTAACCCAACATCTCGATTTTCCCCCACACTATCACCAGGCCATCTTGGCCAGAAGGCCATTGGGCCAGCGACGCACCGATGCCTTGCGCGCCTCGTCGAGGCCCAGGAGGCCCAGTCCCAGCGCCATGGGCAAGAAGTAGTACTCGGCCGGCACGCCCGACGTGCCCAGCACAACCTGCAGCTGCGGAATGTACAGCCAGATGACGGCGATGCCCAGCGACAAGACAATGGCCGGGAACAGCAGCAGGTTCTGCGTCGCCTTGTTGAACGCGGGCGGGTGCTGGAACAGCGAGAGGCGGCGTGTGCGCACGGCCATGAGATTGAACCACTGCAGCACGACGAGGGTGATGAAATACACCGAGCTGGCCTCGTTGATGCGCGCCGTGAGGCCGTCCAGGCCGTCGACGGTGGCCAAAAAGGCCGCGTCGTAGTTGCCAAAGGACAGCCACAGCTCGCCAAAGGGCACGCCGCGGCGCACGAGGTACCAGTAGGCCATGGTGAAGCTGAGGACGACCTCAAACATGCCGACAAAGCCATACGCATGAAACATGAGCTGCCAGTTGACGAGGCGGGTGGTGCGCAGGTTGCGGGGTGGGCGCAGCAGGAGGTCGGCCTCGGGGGTCTCGTACGCGAGAACAATAGCAGCGATGCAGTCGGTGAAGCAGCTATAGATGAGTTAGCAAGTGAAGCCGACGTGAAAAGATCGCGACGACAAGATCGCCGAAGAGGGGTGAAAGACAGGATAGGGAAGGAACTGTGCACAAGGCTGAAATGGAAGGAGGTAGAGAACGACAGAGGGAAGGTGCAAGTGGTCGCAATGTGGAAGGAGCGCGTTACAAGGAAGGCACCATCTAGTGCGTCCCAACAAAACACCCAAAATCCCAAAATCCCAAAATCGACGAAATAAGCTCACCAAATAATAATCATCAAGAATGACGACAGGATCTGCGGCAGGCCCAGAATGACATTCGTGAACACAGGCCAGAACTCAGACCACGATCCGGCCGGCAGCAGGTACGCGATGATCTTCTTCATGTTGTCAAACACAAGACGGCCATAGCGCACAGCCGCGACCACGCTCGCAAACGTCGACCCGCCAAGCAGCACCATGTCGGCAGCCTCGACAGCAATGTCCGAGCCCCCGGCCAGCGCAATGCCAACGTCGGCAGCCTTGAGAGCGGGTGCGTCGTTGACGCCGTCGCCCGTCATGGCCACAACGGCGCCGCGCGCCTGGAACGCGCGAACAATGCGCAGCTTCTGGTCGGGCGTGGTGCGGGCAAAAACAATCTCCGGGTAGTGGGTCGCCGAGCAGATCTGGTCCCATTGGTAGTCATTGACCTTGAGCAGGTCGGCACCGGTCAGAAGCAGGGCCGTTGTTTGCGGGGGCGTGGGCGGCAGGTGATGATCCATCGGAGCAGCGTCGGCGCGGGCCACATGCAGTTTGGCAGCCCACTTGCGAGCCGCGGACGGTGCCGCGTCGGTCTTCTCGCTGGACGCGCCGACGCTCTTGCTGGGGGACCGGACCAGATCGGCCATGCCGTGCACCGCACGCGTGCTCACCATGCCGCACTGGCGCGCAATCGCAAGCGCCGTCAGACCAAAGTCACCCGTCACCATGACCGAGCGAATGCCGGCGCCGCGCAGCGTCTGCATCACGTCGTGGATCTCGTCGCGTGGCGGGTCCATGAGCGCCAGCAAGCCGATCAGCGTGAACGCGCCAGCGTGCACCTCGCTCTTGAGGCGCTCGTCGTTCTTGGCCGCGGCGCCGCTGACGAGCACACCAGGAGCAAGAATCTTGCGCGCGACGAGAATCACACGGCGGCCCTCGACGGACCAGGTGTCCTTGGTCTGCTGCACGGCGGCACGCGTCGCGGGCGTCAAGGCGACGACGCTGCTGCCCCCCTCGCCGACGCCCGCCTGCACAATGCGCGTGCACTTGTCGAGGAGCATGTCCGGAGCGCCCTTGAGAAACAGGAGCGTGTTCTGTTGAACGGCAGGCAGCGGCAGAGCCGGCGCACTGCGGTTGGCTTTCCCAAACGTGCTGTCCACCACCTCGCCGTGGGTCAGGCACTGGTGTGCCATGCTGTTGTTGTTGCCGGTGTCGTCGAGGGCAAGGGCGGTGGCCATGTACTTGGTCTTGCTGTCAAAGGCGAGGTCGGCGACGGTGGTCCAGGCGGCACGCAGCTCACCAATGGGGCCCAGCCTGTCGGCGAGACGCAGTGCGGCCTGGTCCGTGGCGTTACCAAAGATGCGGCGCTCTTTCTTGGTACCATTGGCCTCGACATCATCCTTGTCTTCGGCGGCTGTATCAAACTCGGCGGTGTTGCACAGTCCCGCGCCAGCACGCAGCTGGTTCAAGGGCGACGGGAACGCGGAGGCGGCGGCACCTTCAGCCAGCAGCACCGCCTCGTCGGTGGTGTAGGTCGTGACACCCAGCGAGCAGTCGGTGACGTACATCTTGTTCTTGGTCAGAGTGCCGGTCTTGTCGGAGCAAATGACGGACACGGCGCCCAACGTCTCGACGGTCTTGAGCGACTTGCACAGGATACGATGCTTCTTCATGAGATTGGCCGTGATGGTCAAGCTCGCCGTCGTGGCAATGGGCAGGCCTTCGGGAATATAGGCAATGGCCACGCTGACGGCACTGACAATCAGCATCGGCACGCTAATCCAGTCGGGATGCGCCTTGCGCAGCCAGCCGGCCCTGGAAAAAAGAAGATAAAGTGTCAACATGATTTTATTCGGCCACAAAAAAGACCAAAACAAAACGCTACCGTCCCAAGGCTTGATAGACCAGGGCAATGAGTATGCACAGGAAGAGGCAGACATACCAGACAGCCACGAGCACGACAATCCAGGTCACCATGATGACAAAGATGAGCAGCACAAAGCGCAGAATCTCGCGTTCCATCGTTGTCAGTCCCGCCTTGGGCGTGCTCGTCAGCTTGGCAATCTGACCAAACACGGTGGAATCGCCCGTTGCCACCACCACTGCGCGCGCCGTGCCCGTCACGCAGTGCGTGCCCTGCAGGCCAATGCAGTTGGTCTCGAGGTAGTTGTCGCTGGCGGACGCCGTGCGGCCCTCGGACGCACTGGCCTTGATCGGCTTCGACTCGCCCGTCAAGACGGCCCGGTCCACCGTCATGTCGTGCGACACGCGCACGTAACGGACATCGGCAGGGATGCGGTCGCCGGCCGTCAGCAGCAGCACATCGCCGGGCACGAGGTCGGCAGCGGCAATCTCCGTCTGGGTGCCGTTCTCGCGAAAGACGTGGCACGAGGCCGGAAGCATGGCGGTGATGGACTGCATCACACGCGACGAGGACCAGTCCTGCCAGCCATTGAAGGCAGCCTGGATGAGGAAGACGGCAATCAGGACAATGCCAAGGGCCAAGTTGGCAACAGCGGGTGCCGGCTCGCCGAGCGGCTTCCATGACAGAAACACCAAGATGCCGCCAACCGCCAGGATGGATCCGAAGCCCTTGAAGAAGTACCCGACGACTTTGCCGAACCACGGGTTGGGCAGGGGCGAGATGGCGTTGGCGCCGTGCGCGCGGAGGCGGTCCTTGGCCGTGTCGGCCGACAGACCAGCGACGATGCTAGTGTCGAGGCGCTTTTCGAGCTCGGCCGAGGAGATCTTGTGCCAGTCGATGGCCTCGAATTCTAAGAGGAAAGCACTTTGTCAGAGATGAAGACACGTGAAGCACATGCTTGTTTCACTGCTGATGGAGACGACGTACTCGACACCATGGCATCCTTGGCCTTGGCCTGTTCGCCCTTGCGCTGGCGCTCGGCATCATCAATGTCCTGGGAGCTGTGCAATGTGAGTGTGCGTGTCATCACATACCTCACCTGGGGTATGGTAACGAGCGGCACGTATAGGGGCATGTATAGGGGTACGTACAGTGTGCGGTACTGGATGGGAAGAGCAGCAGATGGGTCAATGGAGCGGCGTGACGAGCGTGACCGCTGACGGGTCGACCTATTGCGCATACGGGCGCCGCCACTGGAAGACGAAGGCGAGCCATCGTCGTTCTCATCACTACCCTCACCCTTTTCCAAGGCGAATCGGTCATGGCGAGAGGCACGGACACCGCCCTTTTCCTCGTCGTCGGCTTTTTGCCAGATGAGCGTGTTTTCAACAACCATTTTGAAGGATGCGAGGGGGGAGGAAGATAGGAATGAGACGGTGACGAGGAAGAAAACGGAGAAATCAACCCGAAGGAAGACGCAACAAGGAGTGGGAGCGGAGAGGGGAGGTGTGTGTTGAGGGAAGGGCTGTAGACGAAAGGAAAAAGTAATATGGAGGGTGTTGTTGTTCACATCAAAGGCAGCAAGACCATATGGGTGAAGGCTGGCAGAGATATTTATGCCTGGTCGGCAGTGACGCCTCTTTGTGACAATGGGCCATCACCATGATAGACGATCAATGTTTGTGCTTCCACGCTACAACGCATCCTATACGGCCCCCTATTTCCTCATTTGTATGTCTTGGCTACATTGTCTGCATATCCGATGTCGTCTTTGTCCTATTTGGTGACAGTCTTGCTTAGACCGTCTATTCTCATCCCTCTCGTCCCTTCCATGAAGCTTTGCAGAATGAGGAAACTCGTTCCTGGAGCTGTCAGTCGTTCTGTCATTACGTTACAGTTATGTAAACCCTGGGAAAGCTTGCTTTTCTTGCTTCTTTGAGGCCAAATGGCTGGTACGCGAGTTGTGTCCATTCTGGTCCTTGCAAGCAACTGGAACCGCCTTGCCGTGAGAGAGCAAAGTATAGTCACCGTGTGTTACGATGAGGCATTTACATGTCGTCGTTCCAAGTGGTGAGAAACGACGAGATAGACCGCCCTGGGGCAACGGTCGAATCATTGAATTAGGAAATTAAATTCTGTATAAAGAATACATCGGAAAATCAGCCTGAAGGAAGGGCAAACCGACAAAGACAAACATGAAAAAGGTCGTATGGCGATGTTCTATGGGTCTCTTGTCACTCTGCGCCGCTGCGCCGACCAGAAGATAAACAGGACGAGTCCATCCAGATAGGGTCAAGCGACGGGGACTGAGTGGGTGTTGAAAGAAGAGGGTCAAACAAAGGGGCAAGACTATAAAAAAAAATGATAAAATGATAAATAAATAAATGGTAAAATAAAAAAATCGAGAGGGGAAACAAAACAGGAATTTGGGAGGGGAATGCGCCAAACACGCGCGTAAAGAAGAGACCGCCCTTTTCATTACAATTCACTACGTCGTATTGTGCGTCCCATTGTCGTTCCTGTTTGCACGGCAGATGAGCCGCTAGTTGGGGAAAAGGCCCTTTGCCTTCGGATCGTTTATCCAGCCGGCCATGACCCATGAACAGGGCTGTGCCTCGTAGCTGCAAAGTCGCAGAGTCGCAAGGAAAACGAGAAAACGAGAAGGATTCGAAAAGGCGAGCATCCTATTGGTCGAGAATGCGGCGGCTCCAGCGCAAAAATTATATCAAAGAACTGACACGCATGCCCAGGAAAAGAGAAGAGAAGAGAAAAATGAAAGGATGAACGGCAAGGCCCCAAACAGGAAAGGAATTGTGGCATATGCCTAAATTCGATGACCCAGGCGTGTCCTTAGGTAGCTGTTTGCTAACGGTTTCGAGACGTCACCATGCGCTGCGGTCGATATGTTGCATAGAAAGACGACGGTGTTTGGTTTCGGCGATTAGTTCTGTCGCCATCCATGCTGTTTCAGGATCGGAAATGGCAGGCCGGAGAGAAAAGCCTAGTCGCCAATGTTTTCCAAATTATTATATTTCTCATTTTCGCTTCCGTCCAGACGGGGTGCAGGAAAGTAGAGAGGAGGAAGACGAGCGAGAGGGAGACATGGGATTCGTGCAATGTATGTTGTACATCGCCCGCAAATGGAGGCCTCCCCGTCAGCAGAGCAACGGTCAAGCGAGGGGACCTCAAGGAAGGAGAGTCGTCGCCAACGGAATGGAGAACGAAGACGAAGGGTGCAATTCATAGCGTACCACACGGGACAACGTACTCGATCCACAATGGCAATTGCCTGCATCGCAGCACAGATGCACACGCGCACATCACACACACACGCAGGTGACGGGGCACGACCCACTAGTTCCCGAAGCTTGTTTGCCTTAATTGCCTTAGGGTTGCTTTAGGTGTGTGGCGTGTGCAAATGTGTGGGAAAGGGTCACGATGATGCGAAAAGCTTCACTTTTGGATGCTTGTTGATTTACAAGAACGTAATGTCGTGTGGTTGTCAATTGACTCAGCAGCTAGAAATTGCAGGGCGATGGGAGAGCTGGGAGGGCAGCGTGTCTATGGACTGCAGGTAAGTACTGACGTAGTGTTGTAAATTATATGAATATTATGCGTATTGGGTGCTTGGCTTGCACAATAAATGGCTGCATACATTTGCTCGTTGTTTTGGCAGGACTGGCAAGGGAAAGCGAGAGAAGAACGAGAAGAGTCAAATAGGTCGAAGGAAGAGCGGACGTTGAGGTCTCAGAACGACTGGTGGGAGAATGAAAAGTGGTGTAAATCAATGGACTTGCCAATGGTCAACCGGACTAATAACAAAAGGGACAATAAAGAACAGCGGGTGGCTATGCTTCTTTGATTCACACGTGGCGGACCCAGAATTAAAAAGGCCCAAGACCGGGCAAGAATAAAATAAAAATAATAAAAGAGGACGAGCGATCTAATGGGCGGCAGGCAGGAAAAAAAAAGCAGGAAAATGAAAAGGTAGCCCAGCCGCGACGCAGCAGAAAAGGCCCGGATTTGGTGAGAAAGTGCTAATTAGGGACGAGAAAAAGTCGCAAAGCGTGGAAAACAGGAAATCTTGGTGAGCTAGTTATGAAGGTGCTAGTACGGCATACGACATACAGTCGTCTTACTCGGTAATTAACATTGGAAATGTGAAGGCGCAGAGAAGACTGCATTGTGCACAACGAAGCGAGGGCCAAGTGGAAAAATTAAGTCGTATTCGTCCGGCATATATGTAAACTGTGGCTCGTAGCTCACTCGCCTCCCTCACATTCGTTCTTCTCGTCCCTCCTTCTCGACGACGTTTTATTATTCCTTACGCCGTATGTCGTGATTTCTCCCGTTCCACCAGAAAGAAAGCAAGAACACAAAAGAAAACAAAACAAGGCTAATAAACACGACCGTGCTGATTCCGCATGCATAGCATACCAGACAGGAATGAGATGTACGGAGCATGCTGCACGACTTACTCTTTACATTGCGAACGGTACAGCCCAAATTTACACGCTGACCGGTAGCGCGGCGGTTTAATATGAAAGAAGATGGGTTTGCGTTGGCATTGGAAGCCAAAGAGAGAGTGAGGCCGGATTCTTCGCCGTAAGCGTACGATCGTTTTTCTAGGGACCAACTCTCTCTGTGGTCTGGTATGAACCTTTTTCGTATCTTATACTCTTGATACAACCAGGACTGATCCCGAAAACTGGTGGACCAATCTTCAACAGTACCAATGATCTACAGAATAAACATAATACAACAGAGAGATGAACGAAGGACTAGGTGTTTTGAAGCAGAGTTTATGTTCCATAGCAGCGCAAGAGGATGCATATCCAAGTAAAAGAAATAAAAATAAAATAACTAAGAAGTCTACGACATACTCCCGTATGAAATAATCCACGCACAGGTCACCAGGCGGCTTGACTTTGGTCTCCTCCTCTTATGATTGTTTGGAGCTTGTCTTGCAGCTTATTAGCGCCGGTACGTCACTGCTACGGTAACGGCCAGGGTACCCGACCCATCATTGGCTTGATTGCAATGGTATGGCATGTGGGCACATGTTTCTCTTTTCCAATTCAGGGACCCAATGTTACCAGCGAAACTAATCCGCATCTTTTGGTTTTGGCTCGAATTTTAATCCTGCATGGATGGGATAGAAGATAGCTCCAGATACTGCTTGGCAGAAGAACGAGCATTCAATATGGAGAATTTTTGACGATATGTTTTAATGCCGCAAGCGTGAAAATAAGACGAAAAGATTCCCTCAACTACATCGTCCTCCGTGGACAACATGCGTTTTTATATTCAGCTCCAATGTCGTAATAGATAACTAAACGGAAACAAAGTGGGCATGACGCAGAAGACACGTAGAAAATGTTTGGCGATGTAATTTTATATAAAGAGGCGATCAAAAAAATTGTCAGGGAAATTAGGGAAAAAAGATAGTATTTTTGAAGCTGATAAAATCGAAAATCAGAAATAAAACAAGTAAACAGCTGTCGGAAAAGATATTATGAAAAGGAGCATTTGATATAATAAAAACAAGATGAAATAAAAGCAAAGTTCACAAAACAATGAACCCTCCAAAATGAGGCACACATAATATATTGGCAAATCGAGAAACCGCCACGCCAACGTCTGCGAAGCAACTCAGCTGACCTCAAAAAATACAACACAGATATGCGAGCAGATACTGTTGGTGTAATATAAAAAGAAAACAAAATCAATCCAAGCGTCATAAATGTCCGTAGTTGTCATGAGCAAAAAAACAAATCTGTGGGATTACCGTGAATCGAACACGGGTCTCTTCGGCCACAACGAAGTATTCTAGCCACTAAACCATAACCCCTTCTCGTGGTATTTGTGGAGTCTTTCGGCCCTCCCAGAGGCTCTAATAGCCAAGACCGCCTGTGAATGGGGACCCGTGATTAGGAAGCAGGAACATGTTCGTATTTTCCACTTGTCTCCTCCGCTTGGCGAGGACGTCGCGGCCATGTACACACGACAAGAACCAACCGGCGGTGAGAAATTATGTCGTCTTGTTTTGTTCTTCCATCGCAGAGTCCAGCATGCCATCGCCCACTGTCTGGCTGGCGGTCCCCGCTGTAGTATCTGGGCCCCTGTAACCCCTCTTCTTCTAATTACTGCACCAACAGTGACGTGTTTTCGGGTGCATCAAAACCCCTGACAAAAGCGATCCGCAAACATTGACAAGCATCGGTCAAGTACGATTCGTAACCCTTGGGTTTTTGAATTTCAGCATTGCATTTATTGCATCCTCGCTTTTACTGCGATGTTTCTTGAACTGCATTTTCAGCGACAGCGAACTGTATGGTTTAATAATTATAGGAGAGAGCGTGGCTCTCCCTCGTGATCTATAACAAAGGTCCCGGCACGCAAAAAGGAGAACATCAGTTGCGCCTCGTAAAATTCACAAGAGAGAAGCTGAAAAAAAGGCACTTGTATAAATAAAAGCTCATTGGTATATATGTGCATGAGTGTCGGGTGGCGAGTTTAGACGTATATACGCTGTGTGTGTCATAATCACTGCCGATGCGCGTCCTCGGCAGACAGGTCCCGCTCTACCATCTCAATCGACGTCAGGCTCGGAAACCGTCGTGTAAAGTCGCGGATATAGTCATCCCGGTCCTGCACCGACATGCCTTCGAGCACCGGCTGGCCGGGCAGATCGGGCGCCATCAAGGCTGACTGCGATCCCGAAGCGCCGCTCTTGCTTGGCAGAGTAGCCGGACCGCGCGCGTTGACGGGCTGCGACGCAGGGTAGGCCGCATTCGGCGAGCCTGGCTGTGCGTTGCTGTTGTTGTTCTTGCCGATCAGTGGGAGAGGCTTGTTGAGATGCATGGGCTTCGGCTTGGCCGACGGTTTAGGTGGCAAAGGACCACCGTGCTGCTTGTGGTCGTCGGATATGGTCATTGAATTCCGGCCCACGAGGACAGGCTTCCTACGCACTTCGGGCCGCTCGTCGAAACTACCGCGAGCGTTGGCGACGGGTGTAGAGCGCGCAACCGAATCCGACCCGCCAACACCAGCACCGCCACCACTGGCATTGCTGCCGTCGTCCGTAAAGTGGCCGTAACCCGAAGCAGTGCGGGTGGCCGGCGCCGATGACTGCGCCTCACTCAACAGGTTCTGCACGCGGTTCTGTATCGACACAGCACGCGACACGCCGCCAATGCTCTTGGGCATGCTCTTGGGGAGCGGCATGGGTGCCGGCGCGCTGCTGGAGCTGGTTGTCGTCCGTGAGAGCGAGGTGGGGCCCGTGTCCACCCTAGCCAGGCGCTGGCGGTATTCGGCACCCGCAGCAGCCACGCGCTTCTCCTCCATCGACAGACGACGACGCTCGATTTCGCGACGTACCTCGGGTGGCATGTCGTCCGTCACCTCGAGCGGCAGCTCGTTGTTGTCATAGGGATCGTCGCGGTATTGTTCGCCACTACCAGCGCCGCCGTAGCTGCTGTCGTTGCGCTCAAGCTGTTTCAGGGGCGACGGCGTGCGACTAGGACCAGGAACCGCCGTGTTGTTGTCCCTGTTGTCCCTGCCGCCGCTGCCACTACTGCCGCCCGTGCTTGTTTCGAACCGTTTAAAAGCGTCGCCGAACTTACCAGCAAAAAGGTTCTTTGTGCCTGCAAGTGCCGTCATGCTCGACCGCTTGCCGCCGCTCATCTTGGCCAGGCCACGGTCGCGCTTATTATCAGGCTGCTCTTCCATCGACCGAAGATAGTCCACATTTGACTCAATGGGTGTCTCGTCCCAGTTGCTGCTGCCGCCGTTGTTCTTGTTGTGATCGAGGCCAGGCCGAGGCGAGACCGACGGAGCTCTGAAATCGCTGTGGCCGGCGTTGCCTCCACTCACTTCGCGCTCACGCAAGTAGTCCAGGTTCGACTCGAGGTACGTGCTCGTTGGCCGAGGGCGGCTCGGCAACGAGGGCACAGAGGTTGTGACCGGCTCCAACGAGTCGGGGTTAGGACGTTGGCCTTCCAGCGACGGACGCGACGAGGATGGATGCCGGATGTGCATTGCCTGGGCTTGTGTCCGCAGCTGCGGCGGCGGCGTCTGGCTGTATTCACCGGAGCCACCACCGCTCAAGTCTTGGTATGGCTTTCGAGGAAGGCTGGACGCGCGGTTGGGGTTATGGTGGTCTGTTGGTGGGAAGCGGAAGACCTGATAATGTGGCATCCGGTTGGGCAAGTCTGGTGGCGGCGGTGTCGGAGAGGGAGACGTCATGGTTCCTGTAGACACCATTTTGGGCTTCTGCTCGCGCTGCGCAGAAATGGCCTGGAGTTCGGGCGTGCTGGAGATGATCGTCGATGCACGGCTCATCTCTGACGCTCGTTGCGGTACTTGCGCTGTTGGTTTAGCGGAGCTCTCGGAAGACGCGTCGATATGACTAGGCAGTCGGTTTGTTGGCCGAACTGGGTCTGATATAGTTTTCGTGATGCTAGCCATGGATGGCGAAACCTTGCCGGCCGCTACGGCCGCCGTGGCAGCTGCGGCTGCAGCTTGCGGTGTGGACTTTGTGTTGACCGTGGGTTGCGGAGCGGAAACAAACGCATCGCCTGCCAGACGCTCAGTCACCCTCTGCTTCAAATCCTTGGATTTGTCTGCTTCGGTAGACGCTGCAACGGATGATCCACCGGCCGCGGCCTGTTGATCGTCGAAGCTGAACCGCGTGCCCTGGTCGTGCAAGATGGAGAACTGATCCAACGTGGGAAACCTGTTGGACAGCTCGTCGGCAGACTGTATTGTCGATTTGGAGTCAAGGGCAGCAAAGGGATCGCCCTTGGTGACACGCATTGGAGAGGCGCTCGGTTTCTGGGCAGACGACGTTGCTGGCTGGCCAACGGGTGCTGCTGTCGGACGACCCCGTCGCATCGGGACGATGTCGGGGATGGCCTGCTGTGGCTTGGATGTGGGCGCGAAGACGGCACCAACAACAGGAGCAGGCACAGAGTTCTTATCGGCGGCCGAGGCTGTGTCGCCGCCTCGCGGCTCGGATTGTGATCGGCCGGAATAGATCTGCACTCTGTTAGGATACTACTGTGGGGTTCGAGGAGGGAAACATGACCGCGCCATGGAGACCACCTACATCTTTGACAGGAGTGTCTTTGCCTTGCATGGCGCAAGACTCCTTGAGGACTTGGTAGATGTTTGGACGAACGCCTTGGTCTTCTCGTAACATGGAACCTAACAAGTGCGATGTTAGTTACGGTTTTTTACAGTGGTTAAGCGACCAATGGCAGCAGAACTACCATACCAATCAACGCCTTCAAGCGGTCAGAAAAGGTGGGGTGACTCGGAAACCGATAGCTGGCGTTGAGAATGGCCAGCTGCGAGGATTGGTCCTCGAACGGTGTCGTATAGTAGCAGAGTTTGTATAGAAGCACACCCAGCGCCCAAATGTCGGACTTCTCGTCAATGGGTTGCCGCCGGTAGACATCGATCATCTCGGGACTGCGGTACTGCAGAGTCGTATGCCTCTGCACGTCCTCGTCCATGAGGCGGCACTCGACCACGGACACAGGTGCCGCCTTGGGCGGTGCGGCGGAACCGAAATCGCACAGCTTGAAGCGACGGCGCGCACTGCTGCCGCCACTCTTGCCGCTGCCACCCTTGCTGATCAAAACATTTTCGACCTTGAGGTCGCGGTGCAGAAGCGGCGGCTTGAGGTAGTGCATGCAGGCAACGCCCTCGGCGACGTCGCTAAATATGGACAGGATCTCGGGCTCCGTGAGGCGGTGCTGCAGGCGCGTGTTCATAAAGTCCATGAGGCCGCCGCCGTCGCAGTACTCCATGAGCAAGAACACCTCGTAGCCGCCGCCGCGAAGCTCGGAGGCGTGCGAGTCAAAGTAAGTGACAATGGCGCGGTGGCCCTTGAGGCGCTTCATAGTCTCGACCTCGGTGCGCATACTGCGCAGGGCATCCTTGTCGGGCACGGCAACGCGCTTGAGCACGGCGAGATCGGTGCCGTCAATCGGTGACTGCAACTTGACGAGATAGACGTGGGCGAAACCGCCCTCGGAAAGGTACTTTTGGATGACCACGCGATGGCTGCCAACCTGTATCTTGGTGCCCGGCGCAAAGGTGCCTTGTGGTGCCGTGCCGTGGGGGGCAGCTGGCACCTGCTGCTGGTGGTGGTGGTGATGCTGCTGCGGCTGGTTGTGATATTGTGGCGGTGGCGGCTGCGAACGGTGCTGGCCGGGCCGGGACGCCGGCATGGCCTGGCCGTGGGACGCCATGCTTTGGCAGTCTCTGGGTTATCGTGACGATGCGCGTTTGATGCGAAGCAAATGAAGCGGTGGAGGCAAAGGCAAAGTCTTATGTTCGTGAGAAACGGCGACGTCGAAAAGGAAACAGGGAAAGGGACCGAGAGAGCGGATTCGGTTCGAGAGCTTGGGGGTGGGCCGTGGGCCGAGAGGGTGCTAGGCAGCTGTGGAGATTGTTGAATGTGACTCGTGTTGTCGTCGACGTGTTGTTTACCGGTGGACTGGGGGTACAGGTCGTGAGTAACGCCGCCGGCGTGGCAGACAGATCGTCAAGAGTAAGACGGGGTTCGAAGACGAATCGACGCCAAAGGGAGAAGGACGGCCGAGCAACGAAATGGAGCGAAGGAACTCGGCATTGGCCGAAGCGAAGGGGAAAGCACAGGAGGAGCCTAAAGCAGGCTCATCGCGGCATGCAGTGCGAGGCGGCAAACGAGGGTGGAAGGGAGGCAAATGATGCAGAAAATAGGAGTCAAATTCGACGATATTGATGAGGAAGACAACTAGGAGGAGGAAATGGCAATTGCATACGATGGCCTCTTTCCCGTCTGTGTGGCTGAGGAACCAGGGAAGGTGCAAGTGTGCCAATGGGGAAGGTTGCTCCCTGTGGTCGTCGTGAGAAATACTAGGGCAAGAAGGAGGCTTTCAGGGCGCCTTCCTCAGGCGGCGTTTCATGCTGCCTTGCTGGAGCAGCGCCAGGCTAGCGGCTAATCAAAGCTGGGAAGGCATGGAATCAGGACAGTTGGAAGCATGGCGCATTCGTGGCGTCAGAGGTGGGGCGACTGCCAGCTGGTGCCGGCCCGTCTGGCTGAATTGTGTAAGTTGGGCTGTGCTGCAAAATGGCCGCATACTGACGATGGTGATGGCGACGAGGACCACAAAACCACAGAGACTCATAAGGTCCAAATAACCTGTCTTGGCCTGATCGAAGCTGGCATGAAGTCAAATTACGCGTGTGAAGTATGTTGTCATTCGGACTGTACCGGACATCTCTGTCATCTCTTATCCCAACAGCTCGAGTTGCAAGCACCTACTATTCGCAGTTAGTGTTCTCCGCACAGAAAGCCCCTCCGCCTAATATGTAACAAGACACTTGACGAGGCACACTTCGGACAGCAGACGGCGTCTGCAAGCCAGAGGTGACAGCGTTCAACCATCAGCAGCGTTTGTGTTAGCGTATGCTTCCAGTACCGATTATTGCCGACCTCATTTTGCTGATTTCAATTTGTGTGTGCTTGTCACCTGTTCCTCACCATCGTTTCTATAATTTGTGCCATTGTTGCCTTACCTGAGAGACCAACCTCGGCCTCCGAAAACTGACAAAGCCACAGCATCCCTCCACCATGGCGGTCCTTCCGCAGTCGCTACTTGAGGCAGTCACCTCAATGTCCATGCTCCGATGTGCCGCTTTACTCTTCGTCGTGCTCCCTCTTTGCTACACCGGTATTCGAGTGGTCCGCTCACCACTGCGGCGCGTGCCAGGACCGCCTGTCTCCATCATCACGTCTGCTGTTTTGCGATGGCACGAGCTTCGCTGTGGCCGCACCCGTTATGTGCACGCGCTCCACCAGCGTTATGGTCCTGTGGTGCGTCTGGCTCCGGATGAAGTCTCATTTGCCTCAGCAGCGGCTGTCAAGGAGATCTACAACTCGGCCGGCAGCGGCTACGATAAGACCGACTTCTACGACCTCTTCACGGTGTACGGGCGGCGCACCATGTTCACCACACTGGACAAAGAGACGCACGCTCGTCGTCGCCGGATCCTGGCTGACCGATACGCAAACAGCAACATTATGCGTGGCCCAGCACTGGCCGGCATCGAGGAGCGGGCACAGCATTTTACAGAGCTGTGCAAGAATGCTGCTGGGGGTGTTCTGGATATTTACGTACGTGGCTGCAATATCTGGTCACGGAAAACTGAAATACTGAAGACACTGCTGACTTCCCCTGAAGCTCGGTCAGTTTTGAGACGACAGTCAAAACGGTACCTCCAGGACGTGAATTTCAGCTAACAAAGCAGCCCTTCACGCTTATGCATTTGACTGTGTTACGCACCATCTCTTCCACCCCTACGGTTCCGACTCACTTCGCAAGGAATCTGACGCCGATATCATGCGGGAAGTGACGTTTGACGACAGCATTCAGAGTATGATATGAACGTTCCGCCATCGAAGACGTAACCCGAGTGTGATTTACTAATGTGTGCCGCACCCAGACCGACTGGTCAGCTTCTACAGTCCGTCCTTTTATGCCATCATCAACCCCGTCCTCACTTGGTTTGCCAAGCCCCGAGAGACGCCGCTCGCCGACGATTTTGTCCTCGAGACTGCCGCCAAAACTGACGCAGCCCACTTTACGCTGCTTGCTCGGATGCACGAGAAGCAGCAGCCCAATGCGCAAGGCTCCACAGACGAGGAAGCCAGGCTTGCCGCTGGCAGCTTCGACGCCCTCGACACAGCGGCCGAGAGTCTTGACCATATGGCGGCCGGGATCGACACGACCGGCGATGCTCTCTGCTTCTTGATGTGGGAGCTGTCGACACCGCGGTCTCTCCACTTTCAAGAGCGGCTGCGCCGTGAGCTTGTCGAAAACGAAGCCAAGGGTGCCGACGCGCTTCCCTTTGACCGGCTACCATTCTTAGACGCCGTTATCATGGAAGGCCTGCGGTGCTTCCCGGCCATTCCCATGTCACTACCGCGCGTCGTCCCAGGACAGACTTGGGGCCGGTCGGCAGCGCGCGGAGAGCAGCAAGCTGACGGACGCGTCATTGATGGTTTCTTTTTGCCTGCCGGCACCGTCGTCAGCAGCCAGGCCTACTCGGTCCACCGCATGGATGCCGCCGTTTTCCCGGACCCAGATGCATTCAACCCCGACCGCTGGCTGGTCTCTGACGGTGACGCAGATCGCAAGCGGTCCTTCTTTGCCTTTGCCAGCGGCGGTCGCGGCTGCATTGGCAAGCAGTAAGTTGGCGACGGCACTCCATTTTACTCGGACAATAGTGGACGGGCATACTAACCTACCTCATAGCCTCGCTCTCGTCGAAATGAAGATTCTTATGCGCGGCATCTACTCGCGCTTTGCCACAGCGCCCGAGACATCCATGACGCCCGAAGCCATGGAGATGTCGGACCAGCTGATTTCGTCTCGGCCGCTCGCGCAAAGGTGCTTGTTGCAGTTTGTACCGCTTGCAGAGGTATCCTAATACAGAGTATTATCTAGAACAAAAAGCAACTCGGCGAACTCCCATTAATTAGCAATAGCCTAAAGACAATGAATGCGCTCTCCCAGGCGCTCATGTGAATAGGCCGCTCCTGCCCCGCGTCATCGTGTCGCTGAATCCAGCCCAATGCCGTGAAAGGGAAGGCGCGCCCGACGTTCCTTTGGTCCCATAACAAACACACTGGGGCTCACTGTGGGAGATACACTGGACTCAACGTGACGGCGGCTCTATTGCTGTTTGGTTGGCATTATATGCCAGGAGCCGCTGCACGTGACTCTTAAGGCCGACTAAATCCAGATTTTGCCCCTCTCTGCAATTAAAACCCCGTAGCGGCGAAAGAGGCAAGAGGAAAGAGCCACTCAGGGCGGTTAGGCGAGGGGCTAAATCTTTTTTTTTTTCTCAAGTGCCTGCCAAATCTGACAACCGAACCATACCAAACTCCAGCAGTACGGTTGAAATACAAAGTGCCATCGCCATCGTCTCCTTTATTCCCACTCCGCAAAATCTCTTCCTCTCTCATAAACCCGCCCTCTCAACCTCTGACTCTTTTTTTTTGCTCAACAGCAACGACTCGCACACACAACCATCCCGTATTCAGCTTTCCGTGCAATCCGGCTCTCGCTGCACGACAAACTTTCTGCATCTTACGCCCCCGCCTGTGACGTGCGCGGCTCTTTTCCATCTCCACACTCGAAAACATCGCGATCTGTCTTTTGTCAGCCTTTTCGCCTCCTTTCCTACTCCAACGACGCACTCTGTTCGGCTCCTTTTGTACGCTGCTCGATTCTCTCGACTCCGATTGCAACGTCTTGGTAGCATCTCGTCTTTGATTACCCGTCGACGACCACCAATTCTCTTGGCTTTGGCGCTTTGGTTGTCCCTCTCGACAAAGAAAACGACAAAGATTTGAGCGTTCCAACGGCCCTTTTTTCTCTTCCCACAACCGACTTTCTCATCCCTTTCCCGAACACACATAAACCAGATACAGGACACAAGTCTTGTTTATGTATCAGCACGACAAGATCTCCGAGTCTCCTCACTCACCTCCTATTTGGCTGCAGTCCTTTCGCATACCGCGAAAACCTTGTAGCACCAGTCAAGGCCCCCACGGTTGAATCTCGTCTTCTCGACTAGCACGTATTTTTTTTCGCGTTCATGCCTCCGTCTCTTAGAAACGACCTTCAGTTTTCCCTTATGTTCATGCAACGCTCGGTACGGTTCTGACGACCCTGTCCTCCGGCTTCATTCATTCTTTTTCGTGCCCCTATGCATTCTGCAGCCCACGCTTCTCCTTAAAACGACAAGCCCAACCACGCCATCGTCATTCTTTGCGACCCCGTCCGTCCTTCCATTCACTCGCACTTCTTTTTCTGCATTCTTTGCATAACAACACGCAACAAACCGCCATCATGAGTCTCATCAACGTTCGCCGTGATGTCACGGACGTCTTCTATCGCTACAAGATGGAGCGTATCCAGACCAAGATCGAGGGCAAGGGCAACGGTATCAAGACCGTCGTGCCGAACCTGAGCCAGGTCGCCCAGCAGCTGGCCCGCCCGGGCGCCTACCTTATCAAGTACTTTGGCTTTGAGCTCGGCGCCCAGACCAACATTGACCCGCCTGACGACCGCTGGATCATCAACGGCGCCCACGAGGCCGCCAAGCTCCAGGACTACCTCGACGGCTTCATCACCAAGTTTGTGCTCTGCAAGAAGTGCCAGAATCCCGAAACCGTGGTCCAGATCAAGGACGGCCACATCACGCTCGATTGCAAGGCCTGCGGCCAGCGCTCCGATGTCGACCTGCGTCTCAAGCTGAGTGGCTACATTATCAAGAATGCTCCGAAGAAGGGCAAGAAGGACAAGGCCGAGCGCAAGGCCGCCCGCAAGGCCAAGCAGAACGGGACGGCGGGCAAGGAGAACGGCGACGCTGCCGGCAGCGGCGAAGACAACTCGGGCTCCGGCAAGGACAGCGGCGACAAGGACAACAACGGCATCCCGGCCGGCACCGACGACGAGGCGACTGCCTCGCCTGCGGTTGTCAACGCCACCGAGTCCGTGGAACCCAAGAACGTCGAGTGGAACGTCGACATGACTGAGGAGGCCATTAAGGCGCGTGCCAAGGCCCTGCCCGACGACTTCAAGCAGAAAATGATGCTTAACGGCGGCGACGACGACGACGAGGACGGCGAGGGCGGTGGCAACACCATCTACGACCAGCTCGGCGAGTGGATCCATCAGCAGGCCGAGGAGAAGGGCAGCATCGACAAGGTCGATGACGTCGACATCTACCTCAAGGCCCGCGACCTGGGCATCGAGTCCAAGCACCGCACTGTTCTGGTCCTGGTCCAGACTCTCTTCAACGAGAACATCCTGGCCCAGATTCCCAAGCGTGCCGGCATGCTGAAGAAGGTAAATTCTACACTCCACTGGTATCTTTTGCTCCCTGCCTCATAAACTTCGTAACTGACAGTAATCCAGATCGTCACCTCTGAGCGCCACGAAAAGGCCCTGCTGGGTGGTACCGAGCGCCTCATTGGTCTCCTGATCAAGGACCACCCGGACATGGTGGACAAGGTGGTCAAGATCCTGCACCTCTACTACAACGCCGACCTCATCTCTGAGGAGGTCGTCAACAAGTGGGGCACCAAGGCCAGCCGCAAGTACACAGACCTGTCCGTGTCCAAGAAGGTCCGCAAGGCTGCCGAGCCTTTCCTGACTTGGCTGGCCGAGGCCGAGGAGGAAGATTCCGACGAAGAGGAGGAGGACGAGGAGGATGACGAGTAAAATTGTCGCCCCCACTCATTCATCCCCTCCCGTCATACGTCTTGATATTCGAAGACTGGGTAGCTCTGGAAGCAAAACAATCTCCCCCAAAATTGAACGATGCTTGTGGAAAATAACAATTGTCATGAAACAAAAGAAAAAAGGGAAAAAAATAATTGCATGCATGACAGTATGGAAACATGATGGCGGCATGGATTATTTACAAAACGAAAATGGACAATGGAAATGTACTATGGTTTAATCGCATCTGCTTTATACATCCTTCTGGCGCACGAGGCTTTCCCCTCGTGTTCACGGCAGTGGGTTTTGTGCTGTTGCTTGTGTCACAACTTGTCTCCTTTTTGGTTCCTAGCAAACAAAAAAAACCTCCTCCGCATACTTGATTTGTACTTTTTGTATTATGTCAACCGGATTATTTTATTGTGCTCTGCTTCCCGCAATATGGAAAAGCAAACAAAATGGACAAAGGAAAGTTTAAATTTCATTTTCTTTGTAAGACCATGACAATCAGGACCTAAGATTTTTCGCATTCGCTTTTTCTTCTTACCCACTTAGTCGAGGTCACCGGGTATGGTTCTGTTTGGTAGTAATCTGTTTCAATGTTTCACGATGCTACGCTTTGCCCAATATATGCTTTGAGGAGATAAACTAGTTTAGACTTAAAAGTATAATCATGAGAATTAACAATAACATCCACCGGGCATAAATAAAGAGAAAGGGATTGACAGGATAATGACTAAAAGGTCAGACACGGCGGTCCAACAAGTGTGTACATCATCTTGTCGTGATGGCAGATCTCTCTCCACCCAAAAGTAACCCAATCGTTGTGAGCGGCTTTTCCTTGCCGGATTTTTCTTCCGTTCCATACTTTCTTCGCCGGCGTGCGTCACCGGCATGCCTCACTGGCGTCCTCCTCCAAAACTCTCTCTCATGTCCCTAATCCATCAAGAAGGATCTTGTAACAACAAGAAATAAAACAACTAGCTGTAGGAAAGCGGATGGAAGACAATAGTTTGACAGATACAGTAATGTAGAAAAGAAAAGAGCAAGACAGAAAAATCAAGAAACAATATAAAAAATACAAGACAAAAAGTCAAAATGACAAATTGAGACATTGGAAAATAAGGAAACTTCAGCAAAAAGACAAACAAGAAAGACGAGTTCGAAAACAGCTTCTAAATGTCACCTGCTGATGTCGAGTCCCTGATGCCAAAAGACTCCTGGGTTCTACCAGGACATATGCGAAGGAGCCCGTCGACCCATGAGGGGGTCAGGAACATCCGGAAGCGGAGCATAGCTGTAAGTCACGGATATATCGGCCCAGTTATTGGGACAATCGTGGCTGGCGTGTTGGTTGGTACAGTCGGACTGCATAGACGATGTCTCCGGGCCCTCAGTCCACGCGCCTGGAATGCAGAATTCGGGCTTTCTCACTGCAGGAACCATTAGCTCATATCCTAAGTAGAAGAAAACAGAAAAGTAATCACAAAACCGTGGCCATGATACCTTACCTTTCTTGGCACTGCGGTGGTCGGACGTAGTAGGGCGGAAATTCCTGTCTATCCCACTTGCTTCGTTCAGATCACTCTGTTCCGCTCTCCAAAATTCCGGGGTCGAGGTAAACCCAGGCTCAAAAGGCAAATGGCGGTGGGAGGTGTTCTGAGTGTCTTTGGTTTCAGACTTCCAGAAGCTGTCAGGGTAATGAAATCCAGGAGGGAATGGTAGATAAGTAGGATCGATCATGCTGCGATCGTCAATAGTGGTGTCTTCCATTGTCGAGATAGCGGGCATATCAGGCGGAAGGTCGATGTTGCGCTGCGCCGCTTGGCTCACCATGGAGTCCCGGCCGCCTCTCATTGCCGATCTCAGCGGGACAGCATCAGATGGGAGTGGGCAACGGCAGTGTCGGGGAGGACCATTGTTGAATGGGGCCTGCACACTTCTGGGGAACGGTTCACGGGGTCTCACCGAAGGCTCAGGCGACTGGATGGGGCGGGGGTGACTATCCCAACCATTGGTATAAGACGACGAGGGGATATCAGAACGGACATCTCCATGCTGGGCTGATGGGAATGCGCCCGTGTTCCCGACTGGGTAATAGAAAGGGACACGATACGCTCCGAGAGAGTGATAATCGAAATACAACCTATCATGCTGGGTTGCGTGCGACTGAAACGAGGCCATTGGCATAGTCTGGACGTACTACGGATTTATATGCTCGTAGCCGGCAATAGTCGCGGGGCCAGTACTTGGAACAGCCTGCATCTGATTCGGTTTTGGGTGGTCGGGCAGACGATCACAATGGCACTTGTGCCGACAGTAGTGCATCTAAATGGAATTAGTGGTCAAAATCTTGAATAAATTGGCTAACTTCAGGTCTCTGTCGACTTACGTTGCGGCGGTTCCGCTCTTTCTGACAGTTGTGGCGTTCGTACTCGTCGGTGGACTCGTAGTTGTCGGAGTCTGGATTGGATGTTCGTTTCGACTCATGCCCAGGGACTGAGCCCGTGTTTTCACGAGACGGATGCGACCGTACGGAGATCTCGACTTGGAAAGCTTAAAATGTTCGGTTAGAATTCCAGTTAGGTTTATTTTCGGGTGGAATCAACGATCGACTTACAACCGTTTGACTGAACTCCATGGCGCATGTTCTGTTCCGCATTCTCATTTTGTGCTGGGGTGGGCTTGGCTGGAATGGCCTGACTATGAGAGCTTTCGACGGGTGCAGCCCGGCTACTCTGCACATTGGGCTAAAGGCAAACATGTTGTCAGTATAATTCCCGGGATTCTTGGCTAAGGTGGTCGATGTGTACGTATTTCAAGAAACCACGGCCACTTACCTTTTGGTCTACAACTGTGTTCTGTCCCTTCTGAGTGCTAGTCTCGGCAGGCATAAGGGCAGGCTGGACTGGTCCGGGACCACTCTGGCGTAGAATGGTAAAAGCAAGTTCGGCAGCCGAAGTCTCAACAGTGACTGACTGCTTCTTCTTCTTCTTCTGATTCTTCGTCTTCAGGTTTCGGCCCGCGGCCCACTCTGCAAAAGAATGAGGGCGCTCGCCAACCCATTTCCCGTTCTGATGGTGACGGTCTGCCATTGTGGCCAGTTCCTGTTCCACAGAGCCAAGTTGCTGTACAATAATGGGATAAAACGTGCAAATAAATAACAAAATCTGGAAATGAACTGCAAAAAGACAACGCAGGCGCCAAAGTCAGCCATCGAGAGGAAAGGGCAAAGGGGATACGGGGAGGTCACGACGAAGAAGTCGGTTCCGTGAAGTGACAGGGGCGGCAAAGGAAGGAATAGCAGGCGACTTGGAGTCTTGCAGCCTGGAAGCTGCCTCGGCGCTACCAAGTAATGGCATGGAAACATGGTGATTTGCGGATCTGGGAAGGCAAAGAATACAAGAACGCTCGATGGGAAGATGTGAAGGGAAGGAAGGAATGACGGCCAATTTGCGAAACGACGATTTTGCCTCTCGCGCTGCTCTTGTTTTTCTTTCGCCTTTCAGGCTGTGTTGTCTTGGTTTCTTTCTTTCTTTCTTGCTCTGTTGCTTTCTCTTGCTTCTCCGTCGGCTTGTCGTTTCGCAAGTCTCTTTTTCTGAAGCCTTTGTAGGGACTTGGAATGGGGGAGGGCTTCCAGGGCGACGACCAAGGATGTCAAAGAAAAAGGGAACCAACCAGTGACTGCCCGATGGGTCTGTCGAAGTTTTGGAGTTGGATAATCCTGATTGAGAGATCAGGACTAAACAAGATGTCTATATCTGTGTATCTTTCGGGGTCTGATGCTTAGTCAAGCTTTCGAAGAAGGCGAAACACAAAACATGTAAAAAGTTGGGATGTGTTGCGAGGCTGAATTAAAAAGAAAAGAAGTAAAGAAGGAGAAGGAGGAGCAGAGGGGATTTTATAATTTGGAAGGGCTCTCCTGGCAGACCAGGATTTCGGGCCTCCTCGAAGAAGTTGAGGAAGGAGCGAGGGACGTCCTTGACTGCAGAGGGAAGGAGCCCCGTCGATGCCTCTCGTTTGCTCTTTTGCTATTGTTCCTGCCTCCAGAGAGCTCTTGCTCTATTGTATACAAAGCTGCTTTGACCGATACGGTAATTTAAGGGCAAGAGCAGTGACGTGGTGGTTGCACAAGATGGGGCAGCAAGATCATTAGGGACGATACTGTGTCTTGCCGGTGATTTGGTGATGCCCATTTTTCTGCTGCGATGCACTGGGACACAAATACGTTGTTAGTGAATGGTCACTGTGGCGAACGCAAGCAATTTTCTACTAATGGAGCCTAAGATCATGTATGCGTAGGTATGTTTCGGAGCTGCGACTTGTGACTTTTTTTATTTTTTCTTGTCTCCCACATTCTGTTCGAAAAACAAAATAGAATAGAATAAAACACATTTATTTTCATGTATTTCGTCGCGTTGTTTCCTACTTGTGGAATTTGAGAAAACAATGTTGCACATCTCGAGTCTAGGCAAACGAAGTTGTTGACTCGATGCTCAAAGATGTAGCCGATCATTATGAATGAAGTTTTATTGCCTCCATTTGTCTCTATTATCTCTCATGATTTTGTTGGAAGTCTATTGGCGTCATACCACAGCCTTGCATAAACGCGGCATCCTGCATGCACAGGGTGCGACAAATAAGTGGACCCGCATATGTGATTCAACATCAAAACGGAGCCTTGTACGAATTAATAGTTTACTTGCTGGGATTGGCACAGTAGCGATGCAAAAGAAATCAGCGGGAGATATGTAAGCAGTATTTGACCAAAATAATAAAAGAAAGTAAACAAACAGATTCCCGTTATCCCCTCTTCCACTACTTCATCTGGCCCTGGCCACCTGCGCAATGACCCTTTGCATATACCACAGCATCCATATAGCAACAAGAACTCCTCATCGCCTCGCCCATTCAGAGTATCTTGTGGTCCATGTCATCGTTATAGCTTCCGTTTCCGTCGCGTGCTGTACTGTCCATGCCTTGTCCGATATACGATGAGAAATGAAAGAAGAGGAAGAAAAATTAGAAATCAAATCCACTCGACCTATATGTCGATCTGCACAGAAAAAAGTTTAGAAAAACTCTAAAACATCCTGGACGACAGAAACACCGCTGAGGTATTTCTCCCATCGTCCCTTTAATCGGGAAGCCGGACGGCGTAGAAGACGCCGCCATCGGTAATGTACCAGCGGCAGCCGAGATGGTCGATGGTCGCGCGGCTGCGCTGGGTCCAGTTGCCATCGAGCTCGCGCAGCCAGTAGAACCGCGACTTGTCGTCGTCGGCGGGTTTAAAATCCTGAGGTTCGTAGAGATTGTTGGCATAGGCAAACTCAAGTTGTTCCTGGAGCACTTCATTGGGGGTCTGGCCGATGCCCATGGCGGGCTCGGGGTGGACGCCCCCGACACCACCGAACCCACCACCGCTGCCAAGGCCGCCTCCACCACCACCAACAATGTAATTACCTCCTGGGACGCCGCCGGACATCATGACCACGGGCGTACCGCTGCCACCGATGCCACCGATGCCGCCAGCACCCACAGCGTAGGCCATGCCGGGCTGCTGCTGGACGTACATGGGTTGGCCCATACCGGTTTGCGGATAGGCCATTATGGGCGCGGTCGTCGTAGCAATCTGAATGGGAACACCATTTGCCTAGACGTAGAAAGAATGGTCAGCGTGGATATGGATAAAGGTTTTTCCTTTAAAAAAAGGAAACAAAAATGAACGCAAAAATATGCAACGACAAAAAGAGACAAAAGAAAGGAGACCCATGCCCAGAACCAGACGAGTACCAGATGAAAGACAATGAAGCACTTGCAAAATAATATTGTAACTGGGAATAGTATTGGAGGCAGGATGTAGAACAAGAGGGAACTGCCGGCGAGTACGAAGTCGACGAAGAAGGCGGGAAAGGTGATGATGCACTGACAGTGGTGTACATAGCCTGCTGTTGGCCATTTGGCTGCTGTATATAGACAATGTTCTGGCCAGGTCCATCATGGCGAGGGACGTAAGTATGGATCATGGGACCATTGGTAGCATCAGGGACGGCGGGCAGGAAGCTGAGTCCAGTGACGGCCGTCGGGTCGACACCGTTCACAGCGTGCGTGGTGCCAACTCCAAAGGGGTAGCCTGGGACTGCCATGTTCGTTGACGGGAGTAAGGTTGGGAAAGCTTGAATATTGTAAGGCTGCTGAGGGAGACCATTGTTGAGATGGGTGAAGATGTGATTCGCTCCAGCCGCCGGGTTCATGCCGTTGAAGCCAGGGGCACCTCCAACACCAGCAGGGGCGTTCTCGGGGAAGCCCGCCGCTGCCGACGCTGTGGTCGTTTGGAGAGATGGATCGAGGACTGGGCCACCAAGAGGCATGCCCGTAGCTGCGGCAGAACCTGATGACGACGATGCAGTCGCAGCACGAGCTCTGCTACTGCGGGCACGGTAATTGGCGTCGTCGTCCTCGTCGTCCACGTCGTCCACGCGGGCACGGCGATCCATATGCGACGCACCGTGTCTGTGGCCGCCGCTGTGGCCCCCGAGATGATGGCTGTGGCGAGATGACGCAGTGGACTTCTGCTGAACGGGGAGCGTGTTCGCTGTGGCAGCGGCAAGTTGGGTGAAGAAACCAGGGACTTTTGAGGGGTTTGTGAGGCCCATGTCAAACGACACGCGGTGGCTTCGAGATTTGTATCGTCTTGGCGTCGGTGACCCAGGCGGTGATGAAGACATTTTGGTATGGCGGGAGGATAATTGGAAAGGGAGGGGGGATGTGAAAAGAAAGGGACTCGTGCCCGAAAGTGAATGACGCTCTGAGAAGGACGTGATACAGAAACCCGGGAGGTAGAGAGCAGAGATTTTTTCCATGGCCGAAACCAGGCACATGACCTCTTTTGATGCGGCAAGGTGGCCAGATATGAGGGTTGAAAATCATATTGAGAAGGCACGAGCAGGATTGAATACAAAAAAGGAAGGAACGACCGTCAACATCGTTGACAGAAGCGGGGAAGGCAGGAACACGCAGTTCTCCCCATGACTGGCAAAAAAGTCATGCACAAGTCCAGAGGACTATTGACAAAATCCTCTCCATTGACAGCTGTCGTCGACGGCCTGGCGATGGGACTGTGAGGATGTCACAGCCGGCTTTAGCGGCGCATGGGGAGATACACAGCTTGAAAACGAACGGTAGATTGCAGAGCGCAAAAGGGACAAAAGGTAGAAAGAAACAACCGAAAAGAAAGCTATAGCTGAAGAAGTAACAAAATAGAGAAGGAACATAAATCATTACAGAAGATGCAAAGAACCGCAAACTCACAATGGTCGAAGTCTGCTTCAGCATCCACTGTTGGCCGTTCCAATCGTACTGGTACATGCCGGTACGGCGCATTCGGTAGTGCTCGTCGGGATCTTCCTCGAGGTAAACGTCGGAAAAGGGCCAGCACATTGTCGCTGATATAGATGTAAAGAGTGAAGAGTGAAGGGTAAAAAAGCAAGAGAATAAAGTAATGAAGACGGGAGTTTAATGATAGTTGAGGTGCTGCGTAGAAATGGAGTGGAAAGTGACGAAATGGTAGACGAAGGCAGCTCGAGACGAGACAGGAAGGCACGGCTAGGAGGCCCATAACGGCCAACAAGTTGCTCATACAACCTAACCAGCAACGCAAGGCTACCACGCCTGCTCTCTCCATGACGGCATCGTATCCGTGAATATGTGCTCTTTAAATTTTTAAATTGTCATCCTAGAAACGCCTGCCACACACGCCATGTGCATGCACCCACCTGGGTGACGTCTATATATAGGAAAAAGGGAAGGCGAATGGTGGAGAAGAGAACCGAGGAGGAGTGAGAAGAAAGCGGGAGGTTAGCAAGCCGTATGACGTACAGTAAAAAGGGAGGGAAAGATGAAAAACGGCAAGCACTGTCTAGTAATATACAAGAGAAAAACAAATGGGGGTGGAGCGAGGAGACCGAAAAAAAAAGGAAAGAAAGAAAATGCCAAGAGTAGAGATATTTGTAACCCAGAATGACAACCAACCCACCCTTGACCTTTTGCTCGCTGTAAAAGATATGCGTTTTCCCTCCCAAATTCCAATGTTCACATTCATTCACTCCTTTCCCGCGCCCGCCGTTCTGGATGTAGATGATATTACTACCGAGATTCGTTTCAAAACATAAATTGTCGTCCTTGGATGGGGCGACAGTCAACCGACGACGAAGGCCGAATGCATATATGGCTGGTGGTCACAAAACGGGTCGACAGCACTGTTAACGGGAACGTTCAAGGCGTTCCCGGTGGGCCTCGAACGTTCCCGGTGGCAGCCGGTCGTCCCTTGGTGATTCGCCTAGTGTGCGGAGTGAGGCTCGGGGATCGGGAAGAATGTGCGACGGGTAACCTGCTTTTGTTAGAGGATGTCTTGGCCGATACGAGGAAGTTCAGGGCCGACTTACCGTCCAGGCTGCTGCCACGGACGCAACAATACCGCCCGAGATCATCATCGGCCGCACACCGCGCGTGCTCTTGAAGAGCATACCGCTGAGGCCGCCGGCCAGCACCGAGTTGAAGGCATCGTGGCGGCCGCGCAGGTAGCCAATGTACGAGTTGATGCAGTTGTAGCAGATGGCCACAACACCCGCCGAGTTGCCCAGGAACGGACCCCGCCGTGTCACGGCGTTGAGCACCGAGTTCAGCCGCAGTTTGGGTGGCTGGCCGGCAGACCGCCGCAGGCCTTCTTGGAGGCCCCAGGCACCACCGAGCGACAAAGCCGTCAGATACGTAATGCCTGTGCCGTAGCACAGGTCGTCTGTGAAGCCGCGCGAGGGCAGCACGGACTGCGAGCCGGGAAGGTCCGACAGGGTCGAGTCCTCCATAGAGATGTACTCGAGCGTCTCCTTGTTGAGGCCGGCGAGCGGGTGCAGCTGCGTCGGGTCGGCGAACGTGGAGCTCTGCAGGAACGAGTCGGCACCGCCACCGCCGAGGGTTGCCAGTGCGGCATTGCCTCCTGATGGTGCGCCTGCTGGTGAAGGTGAGTCGTAGACGGCGTGTGCGGGGATTGACGAGGAAGAGGAAGAGGACCTGGAATCGGCGTGGTTCGGCTCAGAGGTGGACGAGGACTTGCGTCCTGTCAAGGCACCCCAGATCGACATGGCGAAGTGTGTTTGTAACTGCGTGTGACTGTGCAAGGGGGGTTGGGGCGTGAGGCGAGAGAGGCAGCAGAAAAGAAAAGAAGATCTCGCGATGTTGCGGGGGAGGGGTTTCGTCGGTCGATGCAGTCGTATCTGGGCAGCGCGAAAGGAAGACAATCGGAAGAGTCAAAAAGAAAAGGTGGCCGAAAGAATGGAAGGCAAACGTCGTCGGTCTAGCAATTGTCGGAGGTGCGTGGAGAGAGTGTGTGCGCAGGTTGTCGCTCAGGCGGTCGTTCTCGCGAAAATGTGAGTGCAAATTTGTTTGCGACCTGTGTACTCTTTGAAGGGCAATTGGAGCCAAAAAAAATTATTAAAAAATAAAGCGAAAAATGACAGCCGGCCGCCAGAAAATTCCTTGTCTCCTCGGCTGGACCGTGCGTTTTTCCACCCGTCGCTCTTTCTTCGCGCTTCTTCGGTAAAAGTGGAGACTCAGGTGGTAGCGCAGCCTTGTCGTTGGTGGCACGTGACTGGGCTGCGAGCACGATTCATGTCCCTGTATCCTGATGAAGTTGGTAGGTGAAAATCATCCAGGGCTGTTTCAAGTTATATTAAGTTCCTGAGGCGTAGGGTCCCCAAAATTAAAAAATTTGTAACATGGTTGTGGCCATTCTTGGTGTTTAATTTCACCGTCATCACCAAACGGTCTACATGCATATCTCGAATGCTTGTAAACGAGGAGCCGAAAAAAGTCAAACGTCGCCCAACTGTGGGCCACCGAACGACGACAACAGAAGACACAATAAGCTGTGAAAAATAGACAAATTTCAAAATTATGTACATATATTTAACCAAAACAAGTCCGCTCATTCGCCGCCTTTGAATTTCTCAAGACAGTATGACACGCAGCGACTGAGCAGATTTCGATCCTTTTGTCGTCCCCAGTTGGGGACTACCCTTCGTTCTTTCCCTCTCGTCGGCCTCATATCAGGGCACTTTCCTCTATTCACATTACCCCTGACACATCTCCTCAAGATGGAAAGCCCACATCTTCCCGATATCGACGAGCCCTCTGCCAATGCAAACACGTTGTTTTCATGGCTGGAACAACAGCCTGAAGCACAGTCCCAAGAGTAAGACATAAAGTCAAACGAGATATTCTCATATCGTGTGTCTGTGTATCTGCTGACATATAACCGCCAAACAGACTGGCAGAAGCTCTGTTTGTACAACTCCTGGCGAACGCGGCCAAATCTCGCGTCTCGTCCGTTAATGCCTGTGCCAAGCTATGCGGATTTGTCCAGCATTGTGCAACACGGGCACCGGCTGCCGTCACAGAATGGGCGTTCAGGTCCGCTACGGCGCTGCGGCTGTTCCATTTCTACATTGAATGGAACGAGAAGGACCAGCACCGCTCGCTCAAGCTCGTACTTGACTTGGTGGCTCTGCTGATCCTGCAGAACCCAGACGAAGCAGCACGGACGACTCTGCGAAATGAAATCCTGCAGACGCTCGTGACCATTGTCGGCCGCAAGTCGACCCGGCCGCTCGTCAAGTCGTCGATCGGATCGCTGCATTACCTGCTGGGCAAGGGCGTGTATGATTACGAAGAGGTGGCGAAGGTGTACGGCCGCGAGGTGGGTGATGATGACGACATTCCCACGGAGCCGAGCCTTGACATCTGGCGGCGGCTTGTTGCAGACATGTTCGCGTGGATGACGCTGCACTATGTTTGCCCTGTGGCCGGCAAGTTTCTCGTGGCCGTCTTTGCGTACCTGCAGACAACAGCGACATTTCAAGAGGACGGCGGCAGCGCACTGTTCCCCGAATTTTCCGTCGAGATGTGGCTGCAATGGTTGCGCAACAGCTTGGAAGTGCACCCCACCATTTTGGAGGATGTCAAGCTGTACTTTTTCATTCCATTTTTCAAAACCGACCGTGCACGGTCACTACAGCTTCTCGAGATTCTCAACAAAAACGAAGCGTCCACTGCAACCGAGAAGGAGAACAATGACACGGTCGGTGCGGTCCTTCAGCTTGCCGCTCTTGAAGTCGGCAAAAAGACGGGCCTCGTCGACGACCCGGGCTTGAACTTGACGGGAAAGGCTGCAAAAGGCGGTGTCATTGTGCTCAACGAGTCAGTCCTGGACGGTGTGCTGGCACGAGCTCCGACAGACGTGCGCTCGCTGGCACTCTCTCTGCTCGTCTCGTCTCAGTCCACGACGAAACCCTACTCCACCACAGCATTTGGCCTGCTGCAACGGTATCTGCCAACGTACCACGCCGAGTCGGACGCAAAGTTCCGGTACGAGCTGCTGGCACACACGCGTGACATGGCTGTGCGGTTAAAGAGTGCCATCGCCACGATGCAGCGTTGGGGGCGTGGTGGTGAGGGCGACCCGAGCGGCCAAAGCAAGTCGAGCCTCAAGAAGATGGAGGCAGTCAAGATCGATGATGCCACTATCCAGAAGACTCTCACCGAGCACGAGGCCTTCTTGACATGGTACCTGACGTTCCTCCGTGCCGAGCTGGCTCCGACAGCATCCTACCAACGCCACTTTACATCACTCAAGGCTACAACATGGCTACTGCGGCAACGGCGAGATGTGTCGGGTGGCGTGTCGGATGCACTAGACATGGCACTGGTGTGGCGACTGTTTGAGGACAATGCATGGGTGCGTTGTGTCCTAGACTTGATTATGGATCCTTTTGACGATGTGCGCGAGGCGGCCACGTCTCTGCTTGTGCTGGCACCGCCAGAACTTGTGGCCGCCGAGAAGGGCTCTCTTCGGGACGTTCTTGCCAACTTCAGCCGGCGCGCTGATCACCGTGCATCCCAAACTGCACGTCAGGATCACGCGGATGGCGCTGCGCGCTGCCAGGGCCTGATGTGCAGCTGGGCTTTTAACGACCTGGAGGCGCAAAAGGCCATCTTGTCTCGAGTACTCGACGTCCTGGAGACCAAGATTAAGCGGGCTGAGACGGACCTGGCCTCTGCTGCCATCAGGGGACCTGTACACGGCGAGTTTGCGTCAATCAAGTTCATCTGGGCCGTCTTGGCCAAGGCCAAGTACTCGGATGCTGACTTGGCGGCGCTCGTTGAGGTCCAGGCGCGGATTGTGAAGAGCTGTGAGCGCGTGTGGCATGTCGTGAAGCACGTCCTGTGCGACGACTCACCCGAGGGACACATTCCCGACGACTTGGAAGACCAAGGTGTTTCCAATCTCGACTCCAAGGACCTGCTGAGTTTTAGCTTCCGGTCCATCAACGAGTCAAGCAACACGATGCGGGCCATTGTGTCACACATCCGCTTCAGTCGTGTCAAGGGAACACTGACGCCGGGCCGGGCCGTGTTTGAACGCATTGGTAACCTGGCCTTTGAGCAGCTGTCGACACTGCGTCACCGGGGTGCGCTGACAACGGTCGCGCAGACTTTCACCATGTGCTGTCAGCTGGCACAAGACCCATCCGTGACAGTGCCCGGTACAGCAGAAGACGCCACCTTAGTGGCAACATGGTACAAGGTGGGTGGTCTCGCCTACTTAAACACACATGACAGTTTTGAAAGTATATTGCTAACATTTCAGGGCACGCTGAATTGCATTCGAACTCAAGTCTCGACGACGCGGCGATCCGCCGGCATTCCCGCCCTCTTCTCGGGCATTTTGGCCTCATCGAGCACGTCGCAGCCGGCTTTTTTCGACGCCGCCATCCGTACGGCATGCAGCATTGCCCAACAGCCGGCCAACTCTGCCGAGCGCGCGGCCGACGGCTCGCGACTGCCACAGGTGCACGCCTTCAACTGCCTCCGCGATGTGTTCCGCAGTTCTCTTCTTAGCAAACGTGCGGAGCGATTGCTGCCTGAGTGTCTTCAATTAGCGGCCAACAGTTTGCGGTCGGACGTGTGGGCGATCCGCAACAGCGGCCTGTTACTGCTGCGTAGTTTGATTGACTGCCTGTTTGGCACAGGCGAATCCAAGGCGTCACTTGAGTCCGGCTGGGACGGCCGGACGATCCGCATTTCCTATAATAAGTACCCGACGTTGCCCGGAGTCCTTTTGAGTCTACTTCGGACAGACAAGGCTTTGTCAGATGAGGTAGTGTCGTCCAGCAGCGGCCATCTGCAGATCGAGTCGCAACAGGCGGCTGCCGAGTCTGTGTTCCCGGCCCTGGATATCATCCGCCGTGCAGGGCCGCCCGAAACACACCGCGCCGAGCTGTACGAGGCGGTTGTTCATTACCTCGGTAGCCACTTGTGGCATGTCCGTGAGATGGCAGCTCGTACTGTGTGCTCGTTCCTGGTAAACAACGACAATTGGGCTGCTGGTGTCCAACAACTTCTCCTCGACAAATCGGCCATGACCTCTGTCAACCGCTGGCACGGCTCGCTCCTCGCAGTGCGATTTATTTTGGTTCGGGTAGCTGGCATCTCTGGTGCTTCCGTCACGGACAGCCTACGGCCACTTTTGTCGGTTCTTGATACTCTGGCAGCCGCGAACGGTCGGTTTACGACATGTCCGGAGGTGAGGGCGGCCTATCTCGAAGCACGCAATACGATTGCCAGTCTTGCTCTACAGCTCAATGTCAGCATTGGTGAGGCCATCTCCAAAACGGTCGCCGCGCCCGGGGACGATGTAGCCGTCCCGTCGGCACTTCTCAAAGCACAGACCATCCTCCAAGTCAACTATACTGCTGTGGAGCTTGACGACCGTCACATGCTTGAGAACCTCGCTGCGAGCGTCGCTGTCTCAGATCCCGACAATGCCACACGTCTGCTCGAGACCGTGCAGGCGTCTTGGTTCAGCGCTGCCAAGCAAACCCCGGACACTGCATCGTGGCTGGCAACGGTGTATGTCCGTGTTGCTCTCGAGGTTGCTGCGGCGCCCGAGGTGCGAGCAGTTGCCCTCCTCAACCTAGCTGAGGTTATGGACTACCTTTTGTTTGGCGACGGTCGTGGCAACGACAACCTACTTCCCGCCATCGACAGCCTTGCACATGTGTGGTCGGCTACCAGCCAAGGTGCCATCAACCCCGCGCTGTCGTGGGCCGTGCTGCGGGCCAGCGGACCCATTCTTGCAGCGTCAGTCCGAGCGAAAGACAGACCCAGCACCAGCCTCTTCTCCGTCTCCGCTTGGGTGGCCATGATCAAGGCTGCGATTGATCCAGCGCAGACGTTTGACACTCGCATGGCGGCGACTGAGGCACTTCTGTCGTTTGCACTTGCCACGGCTGCTCCGTTTGCCACGGTGGCCAACGACAATGACTTGCTGCTGTTCGTGTCTTGCGTCTACGACACTCTCAATGACGATGACGACGAAATCCGCGACGTGGCGGCCGAGGCGGCGGGTGCGGTCCTGGAAACACCGCTAATTCCGGGCGAGGCAGCACGGCGGTTGCCATTGTGGCTGGCCAGCCGGTTTGGCGCATCCGTTGGTGTTGTCAAACAGGCTGCAGCGCGGATGGAGGGCCACAATAGTACATTCGAAGTCACATTGTGGCCATCTGCAGCGACTTTGTTGGAAGAGGCGCTCGAGTTTGATGACGCCCTTTTCCTTGTCGAGGAGCACAATCTCTACTTGGACGAGGTGCGGGAGGCGGAGCGTTGGGCTGCTGTCATTGCCGGAAACACCGAGGGAGACGGCATTGGCAGTCTAACTGGGTGGTTGGTCAACGGTCTTGAGGCACTTGTCTCTCACGTGATAGGTCCCGATGGCGACGATGGTCCGCTAGGCTGGACGGCCGCGCCGGGCGTGTTTGCGGTGTGTTCTCGGTTGATCTTGGGCACTCGGGCTGTCCTTGCACGTCAAACCGAGGCCACAGACACCAACCTGCAACGTCTGTCGACTCTTTTGACGGCTTTCCAAGAGGCGGGTGAGAAGGCCCAAGTTCATGGCCTGCTCCTGGCCATGGCCAAGGAAAAGGCGGCGATGTGAGGACGCAGAATCAGATATTTTGGAGTTTTGGATCCGAAGGGTTAGAGAAAATATCATGTCTTTTATTCTTTTTGGAGCATTTTGCAAAGGTTTTCATTATAAAATCGCTATGTTGTCTTAACCTTGTCGCAGTCCTCAACAGTTCTCAACAGGTCTCAACAGTTCTCAATCTTCTCCAGCATCCTCTACTTTGGCATTCAACTTGGCATTGCCCGTCGCCTGGGTCATCTCGGCCGCCAACAGCTCGTTCTGGGCCTCCAGCTGCCGCACCCGCTCGGCCAGCATCTCAACCTCTTTACGGGCCACGTCCCGCTCAGCACGCGCGTGGGTCAGCTGCCGCGCCGTGTCGGCCTTGTCGTCGCGCTCCTGTTGCTTACGCAGACGCGCAGCCTCCTTTGCGGCGTTCTGCTGACGCTTCTTCTCGATCTTTTCCATTTCTCGTCGGTACTGAGCCTCTTGACGGGCGACGGCACGGTCGTGTTTCTCGCGCAGCTTCTGGAGCTCGGTGTTGGCTGGATCGGCCGAGATGGAGGAGGACGAGGAGTGGGCGGCCGCGGCAGACGCAGAACCCGAGACGTTCGTCGCGCTGTCGGCACTCTTGGTGCTCTGAGCGCTGTTGTCGATGTCACCCTTTTCTTTTTCTCGGATATCCAGACCCGTCTTGCCTTTGTTTGCCTTCAGAATGTCGAGCTCGGCCTTGCGCTGGCGGTCCTGCAGCTTCTGCAGCTCCTTTTCGTGCTTCCTGCGGGCGGCATCGGCGGCCTTGGCAGCTTTCGCAGCTTTGGCGGCGGCAAGCTGTTCGATCTTGTTCCTTTTCTTGGACGATGGCACGGCGCTACCCGTCTCTGTGTCGTTGTCGATATCGCTGGCCATCACACTGGATCCGCCCGTCGACAATCCCGTGAGTGACCGGTTCTCGCGGCGCAGGGCCAGGGCGCGGTCGTGGGCCATCATTTCGAGAGCCGTTGTCGGGGGCGGTGGTTGAATGGACGCAGCAGAACCTGCCGAGGCAGTGTCTGTTGAAACTGCAGCCGTGGGCCTTTCAGTGCTCCTTGTCGTCAGTTCGTGCGTCGACTGTCCACGGCGGCTAGGCATGATCTCTTCGCCTATAACATCGTCCGCGTGGTCAATATCGCTATACATGTCATCACTATCTTCCGAGAAACCAATTTCGTCTTCGTTGTCGTCGTCGTTGTCGTCGTCGTCAACGTCGAGCTGGCTTTCATAGGACGAGTGCAATATCTGGGCGGCACTGCCAAAGGGATTCGGCAACTTGGATGCAACAGCTGTACCAGCACCACCCAAAGCACCAGACAGCATATTAAAGAGCTTCGTTGACGAGGCTGCGCCTCCGCTGCTCTCGAGCGACAAGATAGTCATCGACGGAGACGTGCTCGAGCGGTCACCGTTGTTGCAGGTGGCGTCGTCCCCCGCAAGATCGATATCGCTCGCCTTGTTGAGCGCTTCCCTTTGCGCAGGCACCTCTTCGTCCTCCTCTTCTAGGATGGCCGCTGGCAGTGGTGTTTTTGGGACCGACTTTGCTGCAGCGACGCCTTTCTCCTGTAGCTTCTTTGACGTCTTTAACTCTTTCGACTCTTTTGACTCTGTTTTCAGAGTCTCCTCGACATGCTGCGCCACCATCCAGTCCAAGAACTTATTCGCGTCGCTAATGATGCTCGATGGCGTGCTCCTGTCGACGAGGAAGCGCGGCACATTGCCGCCCGGGTTGTTGCGGGTGATCATGAGCCACTCAATGGCGGTTTCGTGGCCGTCAGAGTCAAGATCCGAAGCGTCGGTGTCGGTCGTGTCGGCGTGCCCGAGATCAATCGACGAGCGCGTCTTGCGCGAGTTGCTCGCCAGTCGCCGTGCTGCCGACTCCGCCACCGGCACGCGCACTTCACGAATGACCTCGACTGACTCGTACTGGGCGCGCACATAGCCGGGGCGTTGCGGTGTTTCGGGGTGTTGGCACGGTTTGGACACAACCATGAACTGGCGCAGGCCCCGGCCGTTGTCTTGGGAAGGGGAGGAAGAGGAGGTTGTGGGAGAAGGCGGCGTGGGTGGTGACTGGCATGGACCCTGGGTGGTCAGAAGCATGGTGACAAAGTCGCGTGCGGTCGTTGGTCCGGGGAACTCGGCTTCGAGGAGATAGACATCAAGCTGGCGAGAGACGGGAGACTTGTCGCCGTGGCCGTGGTGTGTTTTGGCCGGCCTCGTGGCGGCCGCCTCCTCTTCTGCCTCATGTGCATCATCGTGCGCATCATGGCCCTGGCCGTTGACAACAACATGCTCGACCCGCTTCTTTGTGATCATTGTCCGGACAGTCGACGATCCGCTCGTCTGTCCGTCCGCGTCGCCCGTCTCGGGGAGCGCAAACTCTTTCAGCAACGCCCGCCGGAACATGTCCAAGCCAATCTCGACGTCGCGACCTATCAGATCCTGCTTGTCTTTTGCCGTTGCCGCGGCAGGCTTCGCCTTCTCGACTCGGTGCACACTCCGCCGTGCAAACCAACTGCTCCCCGCATATCCGTCACGTCCGCCATTCATCTTGTACACCACGATGTTGCGTGGGTTCGACCCTCCCGTCTTGACCTCTTTCCACGACTGCCGCAGGTCCTGCCGCAGCTTCTCGGCCTTGGCGGCACTCATGTCGTCGGCCGCCGTCGAGGGCGTAGCTGTGCCGGCGCCATGGTGAGGGACAGGCGTCAAGTGCAAGCCGTACGAGACGGCGCCGTCGGTCTGGGAGCGCGGTCTGCCAGTACTGGACGAGGAGGTTGAAACAGAAGCGGTCGTCGGGATAGAGTCGGTCAGGATCTGGGCACAGGCGAAAGTGTCGGAGAGAAATTGGTCGAGCACGTCTTGGTCGAGGTTGTCCCAGGACACAGGACCAAGGGCCGCCAGCGGGTTGTCGTTGATGCTCATAGTGTGAGGTGAGTGCGGCCAAAGTACGGTGCGACACTGGCGTCCACAAGGGCAAACGATGAGAGAAACGAACAGACGACACAACCGAAAGGGAAAGGAGGCAGGAAAACAAAAGAGAAGCGAAAAGAGAATGCCGACAAGGAGACGCAACGTCGCTATTCAACGGCTAAACAGCGACCGCAAAATAATCGAGGGGCGCTGAATCAGGAACGGATCAGGAACGGGCGGGTCGAACGAGTGCTGTGAATATGCTATTCGGCTGCCTGTTCGGTTCGTCAAGACAGAAAGAAAGAAGGGAAAAAAGAATGAAACGAAAGCCGAGAAAAACAGATTCGTCGAAGCAACAACGCTGGAATATCACGACACCGTAATTTCACGTCAATTTCCCTGCCTCGTTAACTTGACATCGTCATCTTTTCGCAAACCCTCCCTTCTTCGCCAATGCAACAGCGTCGCCGGATTGCCCAGTGGTGCCAGGGAAAGGAAGCCTGCTTACCAGAATGGCTGGCGATCGCTTTAGTCTGGGTGGCCATTCGCCAATGACGTCACCCCATCAGCAGCACTATTGGGGTGCCACGAACACATCGGTGCCCGCTACAGCTACCACGGCGGTCTAGGCCTCCGCTTCACGACAACACTCAATCTTCCTTCCCAAGCCCTGGCTCACAGTTCACGCCTGTCTCATATCCACACGCAGCGGCCGCATACGACAGAAAGACAGTGGCTTGTTTTGTACTGAAACACACATTCGCTCGCTATTTACACGCGCCCTCGATTCTTCACCAGTTACTTTGTGCCGTCTTATAGCACAGGCCAGAATAGAAGAAAAAAAAAAGACAAACCAGTTGGTCCAAAAGACCTCTGTACTTGAATCCAATCACAGTCTGCCCATCAGATCATCGATCGTCGCCATTCCTGGTCGTCCAGTGCGCGCTGGTCGGCGTGGCAGCTCCCGCAATAGTCGTCGTGCCAGTGTGCGAGGAGAGCCATGCGATTGTCTGTCTTGTCGGTTTTCTTGTCTTCACTCTTCTTGTCTTCGCTCTTCTTGTCCTCGCTCTTTTTGTCCTCGCTTCGCTCGCCAGCCGCCCGCTTCGTGAGCATCGCCTTCACCTGGTCACACCGCTGTGCCTCGTCCGCCAGCCAGTTCTCCCACTCCGACTGCACCATCTCGCGCTCCACGCTGTTGACCACCCGCATCGCCACCACCAAGTCGTGCCGGTACGACCCGAGTTTCTGGCGTGTCCGCCGCAGCCGCTGCGCCGTGGCCCGGCTCGTCGGTGACGACAGGAGTGCGCCGGCATCCTCGTACGGCGCGTCCAAGTCCGTCGCATTGGCAATCGACAGGAATGTAGAATAGCAAATGCTGTCTTTGTCACTACGACGGCCGCGTTGCGGCGTGACCGCGTCGCTGCGAGCGTGCGACGCCGCCTCCAGATCACTGAGGTAGATCGACTTGCTCATCATGACATTGGGCCCGACGCCCAGCTTGCGCATGTACGTCGTGGCGTGCCGCTCGGTCCACCAGGCGGCGGTCTCGCGGGACGAAAAGACGAGATTGGCCGCGACGCTCAAGCCCAGCACGGCCAGCAGCAGCCGGTGCGCCGAGGCCACGCGGAACAGAGAGCGGCACCCCGCAAACGCCCACATGACCAGGCTGGTGACGACCGACTCCATGAAGCTCCGGAACGTCTCCAGCAGCATCTCCGTCAGCGTGCGCGGCTTCATTTGCGTCGCGTTGCGCTGCTTGCTGCCCGCGCCCTCGTTGGGCGCAAACTTGACCACCTTGGTCTGCTGCCCAATGTTGCCGTACACCTGCATCGCCCGCTTCGTGCGGCTGTGTGCGCCCAGCTTGCGCACCTCGTCCGTCGCCACCTCCGCCAGCTCCTCGGCGTCGCGCGACGCGTCGTCGAGCGCCTGCCGCTCCACCAGGTTCTTGCTAAACGCCGGCGGGTTCGACCAGTCCACTTTGACATAGACCGCCAGCTTGCACTTGGACTTGGCCACGTGTGTAATCACAATCTTGGTCACCTGCTTGAAGGCCGTCGAGTGCGGCAGGTGCCACGCCGTCTTGACGTGCG